CGTCCGTCCGTACGTCCCACCTGTTTGTTGCCGCGATATCTCAAGAACTAAACACTGGATTGTCTTCATATTTGGAACTATGGTGTATATACAGACTCCGCAGACACCAGTCGGTTTTGGTGACCTTGATCCCATTTTCAAGGTCACAGCAGACAAATCTGCTTTTAGAGTTGGAAAACGGTGTTGCCGCGATATCTCAAGAACTAAACACTGGATTGTCTTCATATTTGGAACTATGGTGTATATACAGACTCCGCAGACACCAGTCGGTTTTGGTGACCTTGATCCCATTTTCAAGGTCACAGCAGACAAATCTGCTTTTAGAGTTGGAAAACGGTGTTGCCGCGATATCTCAAGAACTAAACACTGGATTGTCTTCATATTTGGAACTATGGTGTATATACAGACTCCGCAGACACCAGTCGGTTTTGGTGACCTTGATCCCATTTTCAAGGTCACAGCAGGCAAATCTGCTTTTAGAGTTGGAAAACGGTGTTGCCGCGATATCTCAAGAACTAAACCTCTCGATTGTCTTCATGTTTGGAACTATGGTGTATATACAGACACCGCAGACACCAGTCGGTTTTGGTGACCTTGACCCCATTTTCAAGGTCACAGCAGGCAAATCTGCTTTTGGAGTTAGAAAACGGTGTTGCCGCGATATCTCAAGAACTAATCGCTGGATTGTCTTCATATTTGGAACTATAGTGTATATACAGACACTGCATACACCTGTCAGATTTGGTGACCTTGACCCCATTTTCAAGGTCACAGCAGGCAAATCTGTTTTTGGAGTTGGAAAACGGTGTTGCCACAATATCTCAAGAACTAATCGCTGGATTGTCTTCATATTTGGTACTATGGTGTATATGGCGGGGGATATTTCGTCACTCTGTGACAAATACTTGTTTACATAAACTTATTTTTCATAAACCCAAATGCCTGGGACAAACGATTTTAGCATTCATCATGAGGGGGGGACACATTTTGATTACACTTTGCTGTCACTGCAGATACATGCATGCCAGCTTGTACCAAGGGTCGCCTTAATTAGTCTGGGTGGGATCCCCATCCTTTTTGCCTAAATTGCACATCCATCTGCACCCAGACTTTAAAATGTAAAGACTGTCACCCACTTTCCCCATAGCTTTCGCAAAATACATCCAAGCGTTTAAGAAACAGAAGACCCAGCAGGCATGTCAACACTGTCGCTCAAAAATGTCAGACGATTCTGAGCATTCTAGGCTGTCATCCCCTTTATGACATCTGCAGCCACCCCAGCATCTTCGTCCCAGGTGCCAGTGTTCTCAATGTTCACCTCTGTGACCCTGATCTTCACGGCCGCCTCCGCTACAATGATGCCAGACCCGAATGCGTCTATCCCACAGACGTAGACCTCTCCACGGCACCTATGCAGTCGGCGCTCCAGGCTCCTCCAGGGTTTCAGACTACCTGCCTTCCAACAGACATCTCCCCAGATGTACCCGGCGCATTATATGGACTCGGCATGGTTCCTCTATATGCAGATGCTGCAACAGTCCATGCCATGGTATCCAGCACCTTCAGCATCCGGGGGTGGTCAGCTAGCCAAGTGGTTAAAGTGTTCGCTCGTCACACCGAAGACCCGGATTCGATTTCCGACATGGGTACAATGTGTGAAGCCCATTTCTGGTGTCCCCGACAGGATATTGCTGGAATATTGCTAAAAGTGACGTAAAACCTCACTCACTCTCATTTCAGCATCTGCAACTATATCGATGCCTCTGGCTCTTTCATCCTCAGTCATGCCTACAACGTTTCTCCATGCGTCTATGCCAGCATCTATACAGGGGCCCTTACACAGGCCCAGCCTAGACTTATGTGGCACATCTAAAGTGCGGTCAACCTTACCCTGTGGTTCCACCTTGCCAGGCGCCTCTTCCCGACGCATTGGTAGCAAATCTTCACATTCTAGACGCCGCTCTCCAGAACTCCGACTCATCAGAAGGCTCCTTTATACCAGCGTATGTAGGATCGTTATGAGAGGATGACTCCCACCTAGGGCTGAACCAGGTCGCAGACTGGCTCACTGACTGGTTGGAATCAGTGGCACCTTCCCCGAGGCCCTCAAGGCCCTGGCTCATGCCTCCTTCAAACCATCCATGTCGGGCAACTACCAGCCCAGATGGAACTCCCTTAAGCCACGCAGACAGAGCTCCTCCACTTTTCGTGGCTGAAACTAAGGGAAAAGCAAGGCCTCAAGATCCTTCAAGAAGGGAGTGTTGACTGCAAGGCCAAGCAGTGAATCGACAGACACAAACAACTGGGACGCCCCAGTCGTTCCCATTATCAATACTCCAGTAGGTGGGAGACTAGGATGATTCTGGCAAAAGGGTATCAACTCTGAGAGATGACCCGCTACCCATAGCAGACTCTTACCCTCCTACTCAACAGCAGCTACTGCGCTCCAACATCAACGAGCTGCTGGTCAAGGAGGCCATTGAGATTATCCACTTCCCAGCCATAACTGGGCTTCTATTCGCCAATTTTCCTTGTCCCCAAGAATGACTCGGACCATTTCTGAATGATACGCAATCTCGCCACCTTCAACAAGCGCTACCTGGCTCGTCCACCATATTTCCGGATGACCACGCTCAGGCTACTCAGGTCTAAGATACAGGCTCACAATTCCTTCATCAGTCTGGATATCAAGGACGCATACCTACATGTGCCAATCCATCCCAGCAACATGAATTTCATTTGTTTCCAAGAATAGCCATGGACAACATGGTATGCCGGTTGAAGTTGGTCGTAACACCATCGCTCTCGGGCTGCGAGCCATCATTCTTCAGGCGTACAAGGCCGTGGGACTTGATCCTCCGAGAGCCAGCAACCCGCACGAGACCTGGGCGGTTGCCAGCACCATGGCGCTTCACAGCCACCATTTTCGCCAGCCACTGCCTGTGAAATGTCGCCTTAGAGGATGTGGAGGCGTATACAGCTTTGGCCCATTAGTGGTTGCCCAGCAGGTCACCAATACTAGATGCCATTGTCACTCTCACATGTCTAGGGCCGGCCTTGCGACCTCTCTGGTGCGTGTCACCCCAGATTAGAAGGCTACAAGCTTCCCACATTAGGCTCTACGACTGTATTGTTACCCTGACTCCACGCATACCTAACTTTCTCTCTCCTTGTCAACAGGAATGGTCGCCTGATGCCGGACTTTGCCTTTGCTGATTGGCTGAGGATTTTGGAATTTTTTAATTAACAATCACTGCTGAAGGTATGCCCTGCCTTGTACCATCGGATGAAGATGTATCAAGGAGTAATGCAGGATATGTTAAAAAATCTAGTAAAATCCTAGAATTTTTTTATATTTATCCATACTTATCCTGCATCACTATGTCTAAAGTGGCCCATTCATAGCAAAGCTACATCCCCATGATGCCTTCAGTTGTTCCAGTTCAGCATGTGCTGATTGATCACATGGAACCTTCTGTGGTCACATGGGAGCTGTGTCATAGGGTTGGCCACTCAGCTATTGAAACAACTACTTCTTCAGCAAAACCTCAAACAGCTGTCTCTCTGTCAGACCAAGCAGTAAATGCATTAAAGAGTAATGCAGGATAAGTATACAAATATAAAAAATATCAAGGATTTTACTGGTTTTGAATGGGTGATCCATATCAGCCCAGGTGGTAAGATATTAGAGTTACATCCCTTGGTGTTTCATCTGCTTGACTAGCGTTACCATGACAATGTCTTCCAAAACAAGGTGAACATGTTTAGCATTCTCTTGCTAATAGAACTACGGAGCCAGATTCTGTCTTGGACAAAACTGAGGACTGATTTAAAAGCGAAATGTACATGAGTAATTGACTCCGATAGTGACTAGTTGAAATTGACTATATTATTATGCGTGACATTGGGATGTTTAACACCCCAAGTACTCAGTTTGTGTCAGTGGTACAGTTTTTGTTCAGTTAAAGTTAGATCATTACTATCTATAGTCTGAGATGTGCTATCCAGGGTTTTATGCACAAATGTAGAGGATGGATGCAGAAAAAATATACTGCATCCCAAGGGATGAATATTCCTTGTACCTACAGCGCATCAAGTGTAGTTACAGATGTCGATCATTTCATCCATCAATCATGACCACTGTCCACATGATCATTGATTCATTCCAGGCTCTAAAGTAATGATCTAAACGTGCAGTACACTACACCATTTCATTACTGTACACGACCCTCATATTGCCTGTAGGGACCCTTAATATTAATTATTGGCTATCACTGTTTTATTGGCTTATATAAGATAGCTATGTGATAAATCGCAAAGAACAATGAAGAACGAGGCATGGATTATTTCACGATATAACATTGTTCTATTATGACATCATTTCTGGAGCTTCAAACATATGCTCACAACTTGATGACATCATATATATATGACATTATTTTTGAGAGGGGAGTGTCTAGTGAGTTATTCCCCTTCTCGACATGGCCAAATGATCGCATCCCAAAGCATGAAAGAGACATGACAATCGGTATTTGGAGAACAGGTACAGGTAATCGACATGAGGACTGTGAAAATATGCGGGAAATACCCACCTGTGCCTAAAATGGACTTGTCCGACATTGCTGTGGTTGGATTCTATTGAGGTAGTCATCATTATTTAAATATGAGTAACTATTTTTGAAGCTTGTACATGTCATCATCACCCTTGAAGAGGCTTCGCATAATGTTGATATCTCATGTAGGAAATACACGACTTGTGGTCGTTGTTTATTGTACAATAAAACACTGCAGGGAGAATAAACCACTCAGGGCTGCACCCCTCATCGTTTATTCTCCCTGCAGTGTTTCTTTGTACGATAAACAGCTCCTACTCGTCATCTATTTTTTAAATACCTACAGAAACAGAACATTGAAGAGTCCTGGGTAGTTAGATGTGCAGTCTGTCATGTAGTTGTAAATCTACTAGCAAGGCCATCTCAGTTTACACTTCCTGGTTTCAGACTGAAACAGCCAAGATGTATCCCGGAGGTGTTGGTGGTCTGCTGCTGCTCCTGTGTGTGGCTTCATTCTCAGGTACTGTACCTCTCACTGGAACCTTCTCAACAAAGTCCAGACACAATATATAGTGGCGATTTGGCTGGTCTGGTCAGATATGTGTTCATTGTCTTGCCCTGATGACGTTGATGCTGTGGTGAGAGGTGATGATGAAGTGGCAGCTTCATCAGGGCGTGTACGGGGATGTTTAGTGTGTGCTGAGAACCAACTGTTACGATACTGTTTCCCAGGATGGCAGCTCCAGATGAGGTTGTGGCTTGGCTTCATCTGTGAACCTCCTGAAGGAATGAACCTCCAGCTGATTTATTATACCTCTGACCTAAAAGGGGGTATATAGCTATACCAAGGAATTCCGTCCATCTGTCCATCTGTCCAACCGAGGACATTTCTTTGTGCAATCTTGCAAACACTTCATGGATTCTTTTCAAAGTTGGTGAACATTTTCTATATTTCTAACCATAGAATTTCAATATTCGGATTTTCTGAAAAAACGCAGCTCTTTCATTTTTTTTCCCTTAGAATTGTTTTTACTTAAACATTTGTGTGACCTATAAATTGAAAACTACAGCATGGATTGAAAACAATTTTAGTAAATTGTTTAGAATCCACCATGATCTCAGAAGGTATACGAGACTTAAGCTAGGATTCCTTACATCAAGATTCTTATTCAGCCACTTTATTCGGATTGCAGCATGCAGATGCAGAATAAGTTCTGTAAAAACACATACTGGTTATATATCTGTAAGCAGTATGTTTATGTTTTTTCCTCTGTGGTCCAGGCTGCTGACTGTCTGTGTTGTGCCTCCAGAATATCAATTGATGCTTTTAATAAAGGACCCTTCATGCAGTTCATGTGTTAATAACACATTTCATAGGCTAAATGTCCTTCTAAAGGCTTGGTCAAAGTTAATTTGACAAAGTCAAGTTTGGTGGAAAGGCTGTCGTTGAAGGTGCGTTTGCTATGAATATATTCCCAGGGTCTTTTCCAAGCAAAAGGCTGTCGTTGATGGTGTGTTTGCTATGAATATATTCCCAGGGTCTTTTCCCAGCAAAAGGCTGTCGTTGAAGGTGTGTTTGCTATCAATATATTCCCAGGGTCTTTTCCCAGCAAAAGGCTGTCGTTGAAGGTGCGTTTGCTATCAATATATTCCCAGGGTCTTTTCCCAGCAAAAGGCTGTCGTTGAAGGTGCGTTTGCTATCAATATATTCCCAGGGTCTTTTCCCAGCGAAAGGCTGTCGTTGAAGGTGTGTTTGTAAGTGAGTAACAAGCAAACAGTTGTGTTTAATACATTCTTAGGGTGTTCATGCATGGAAAGTAAGTTATCTGTTTGCACTTCGACCCATGGTTGCATTATTTATTTGGTGATAGCGAAGTTAAAAGTAGTGAATTTTGCCAACTCATCGCAACAAACCCCAGAGGAAGATTGGTGTCTCTCTGGAAGTCATCAAACTGATTCGATCCAAGTCAGCCATTGGTAGATGACCTTGGAGGAATGGATGTCAAAGTAGGGTAGGAAAATAGGAGGGGTTTCAGAGAAACTGAATCTGTTACTATTTTGTTCAAGTTTCTGAACCATACTAACAAGTTATGTTTATCCACACGTATGGAATCGTATAATGAAGTTTACCTCGTTCCTATTATTTCTGCATTTCGTGTAGTCATGCTGCATAAGAATCTACCTATCGAATCTTAGCTTTAGAGTTAAAACAATCTCATTAAAATCAGATCTTAGTTCTTGCTACTGCTAAACAAAGATCTGAGGACATCCCATTGCAGGTCACGCCAGGATGACTTGTCATCCGACCAATCAGAACGGATCAGGAAAGTGACAGTCACAATGTGTTTTCTAATCATACAACCTCGAAACAGTTAACACGGGGTATGCTGAATGAGAGTTACAGCTGTATGACTGATTCCATCAGAATCACCATCTGTCTCTCGCTTCAACGGATAAACATTTGCACAGAAGAGACGTTGCACAGCACGTGGGAAGAACTGCCATATAATCTCGACCATATATTAGACATTCCAGAATGTTTGTTGTTCAGTTTTCAAATTTTTGATTGAGAACTTTGTCAACACTTTTTTCAAGCGTAGTCCGAAATGAAAGGCACCAGTTTGAAACTAGTTCCATAAAGCTTGAGAAAACTGCGTTTTGATTGGCTAATGTTGACTTCTTGTAAGTCATTTCATTGGTCGATCAAAGTTCGTGAAAGGTCGATCTGACGTGACCCATAATGGGATGTCCTCAGATCTTTGTTTAGGGGTAGCGAGAACTAAGATCTGACTTCAACATGTTCAATGAGATTGGATTTGAAATTTTTGAGAAAGAAAGTGTAGTTTGCAACAAGGTTATACAAGCGTACATTCATTGTGGCAGATTTATTAGAAACTTTGTTCAAATGAGTTGCACAGTTCTTTCAAAGTCATCCATTGGCCCTCAACCATTTTAACTCTGATGAAGAAACTATTTGAGTATCACTGCTGATAGGAAGTGTTTTCCATTGACTGTGTGTCTTTGTTTACATATGTAACTGTTGGCAACAGGCATAGTTAGGGGAGCTACAGTGCCATGGGACGATATATCCTGATCTAGTCAGAAACATTTGCTACCATTATATATTATATATTGACATAAATAACACTGTAATATGTGTAAACTTTAAATGTCAATGAAACTGAAAATGTTTTGATATTAGTCACTTGGCAATTTAGGCCCCTTCTACGCTGCTGTTTTCTGTAAAACTGAAATATTCATAAGAAAATATGAACTGTCGTGTAAATGTTCGGTCTGCTATGGGGTGCTTATGAAGATTACTTGCAGGGGGGTGCTCATAGGAGCCGAGTGCTTAACACGGTAAATACGGTATATTGAGAATAATATCCAAAATGTTATATTTTTCTCAGATTTAGCTCTGCCCTAACATGTCTGCTTGTTCTTAGAATTCCCAATATGCATTTAGTTGTTCAGTTTTAGTATTTGAACCCTGAAATACATGACATGTGTTTGAAAGTTTACCGCAAGAATGGAAAGGAGACATGCTGGTTTCATTACAAGCGGTATGCAGCCTGACCTTGTTCCAGCTTGAATAGGGCACTGCACACATTTACTGTTGACAGACATTGGTCATCAAATTAAGTATGTAAGGGAGGTTATTGCAAAGTAGTAAAAAACATGGTTTAAGATGTAAAACAGTGAATAGATTTAAACCAATAGTGTGAAAATTGTTTAAACATGCATGTGTTGATTTAACATTTTCGGAAATATATTTTATTGTAAATATATTTTGAGGAACAAAGACTTGCTGTGCGTCAGTGTTCATGCCTTGCATCAATGTTTTCTTGTTTCATGTTTTGCTGTGATGTTATCTGACACACTCCTAAGTTTAATGGTGTTGATGCTATTTCTCTAACAGCTGGGACTGCAGCCCAGGTGTCTACGGATGTGGCAGGTAGGTAGAGTCTAACGACAGGAATCCCCCCAGGGGACGTCTTAGCCTCCTGAACATGCTCCCATCCCAGTAGTCCGTCTTACAGTTCCTGTTTGTGCTTTCTCAGTGTATAGGCCAGACACACTTTTATATTTGTTTTACAGATTTTCTCAAAAAATGTCAAAAGTCTGAAGCCAAAGTATGAATGTTCAGGAACTGACTGTATGTTGATCAGAGCTCCAGATAAGCTGCGTATCTGCGTGAAATACGCATCAGAAATGCAGAAATACACAGTAAAATATAATCCAAGCGTATCAAATACGCAACGAACATTACAGATGCGCTACAAAAATAAAACTTGTGCGTATCATCAAAATATTGTGAAGTAACCCTGCGTATTCGATTAGCAAATCAACAACTTATTTTGAAATTATAAAGGGGCATTCCGTCAACCTTGCCAAACTCCACGATGACAGTTACATCATGATCATTTGCCATCACACTTCCTTGTGGAAGTATGGTGGTATTTTTGAGTCCTATAAAGCTCTCGACCCACACGACACCATTTTGCAGGGACCAGATGAATAGTGTTTTTAAATATTTAACTTAAATACCCACAGGTGTAAAAACTAGTGGGTACCAGAAATTTGAATACGCAGGTAGAATTACTGATACCCAATGATTTTAAAATGCATGGGTAAAATACCCACAACACCAAAAGCTTATCTGGAGCTCTGATGTTGATCCATCATCATGGTGACAACACAGTGATAAGAATCCTGATACTTTTGAAGCCCTTCCTGATGCATTATGTATAAATCTTGTATCAAAGTTTCAAACACGAGTCAAAGATATATTTTTCAACTTAATATGGCATTATTTTAAGATTTACTTCTTTTTGTAAAAAATAGAAAGGCTCTGCCTTAAATCAAGGGAAGATACTGGGTTGGCATAAATAATAATCAAAAGTTATGTCAGACAAGGTGATGACACAGTGTAGAAATACCTTCACTGGAGTACATATAGAAGCCCTTGATGATGTCTTAGATGTGATTCATATGTAGTAGAGTAGCTGGTGGTACCATAAGTGTGATTTCTGGACTCTCTCCTGTCCCCCAGCATCATGTGACCGGAACTTCACCGCCCCCGTTGGAAACTACAGCTTAAACACCACCGGGCCCCGCAAATGTACCTGGCAGATCAGCCGTAACAACACCGGCCAGACGTCCATCGTCTTCAGCCAGTTCCTGTTGGGCACGACGGACTACTTGGTCGTGTACGATGGTGACGGAAACCACTCACAGGTCATCAACGCCACAGGGAAGAAGGGTATGAGACTTCATTGTTCATGTTAATGGGTCCCATTCCACAAAGCGATCGTAGCACTGTGATGGTCGTAGTATAGTAGATGTTAAAGAATGGGAGTTACAATTGTCTTAGCGCAATGATGTTCGTAAGTGTATGTTAGAGAATGGTAGTTACAGTCATCTTAGCACAATGATGATCGTAAGTGTATGTTAGAGAATGGTAGTTAAGTCTTCTTAACCCAATGATGGCTGTAAGTGTATGTTAAAGAATGGTGGTTACTGTAATACAGTTGTCTTAGCACAATGATGGCTGTAAGTGTATGTTAGAGAATGGTAGATACAGTTGTCTTAGCACAATGATGGCTGTAGGTGTATGTTAGAGAATGGTAGTTACAGTCATCTTAGCACAATGATGATCGTAAGTGTATGTTAGAGAATGGTAGTTAAGTCTTCTTAACCCAATGATGGCTGTAAGTGTATGTTAAAGAATGGTGGTTACTGTAATACAGTTGTCTTAGCACAATGATGGCTGTAAGTGTATGTTAAAGAATGGTGGTTACTGTAATACAGTTGTCTTAGCACAATGATGGCTGTAAGTGTATGTTAGAGAATGGTAGATACAGTTGTCTTAGCACAATGATGGCTGTAGGTGTATGTTAGAGAATGGTAGTTACAGTCATCTTAGCACAATGATGATCGTAAGTGTATGTTAGAGAATGGTAGCTACAGTTGTCTTAGCACAATGATGATCGTAAGTGTATGTTAGAGAATGGTAGTTAAGTCTTCTTAGCACAATGATGGCTGTAAGTGTATGTTAAAGAATGGTGGTTACTGTAATACAGTTGTCTTAGCACAATGATGGCTGTAAGTGTATGTTAGAGAATGGTAGCTACAGTTGTCTTAGCACAATGATGGCTGTAGGTGTATGTTAGAGAATGGTAGTTACAGTCATCTTAGCACAATGATGATCGTAAGTGTATGTTAGAGAATGGTAGTTAAGTCTTCTTAACCCAATGATGGCTGTAAGTGTATGTTAAAGAATGGTGGTTACTGTAATACAGTTGTCTTAGCACAATGATGGCTGTAAGTGTATGTTAGAGAATGGTAGATACAGTTGTCTTAGCACAATGATGGCTGTAGGTGTATGTTAGAGAATGGTAGTTACAGTCATCTTAGCACAATGATGATCGTAAGTGTATGTTAGAGAATGGTAGTTAAGTCTTCTTAACCCAATGATGGCTGTAAGTGTATGTTAAAGAATGGTGGTTACTGTAATACAGTTGTCTTAGCACAATGATGGCTGTAAGTGTATGTTAGAGAATGGTAGATACAGTTGTCTTAGCACAATGATGGCTGTAGGTGTATGTTAGAGAATGGTAGCTACAGTTGTCTTAGCACAATGATGATCGTAAGTATATGTTAGAGAATGGTAGATACAGTTGTCTTAGCACAATGATGATCGTAAGTGTATGTTAGAGAATGGTAGATACAGTTGTCTTAGCACAATGATGATCGTAAGTATATGTTAGAGAATGGTAGATACAGTTGTCTTAGCACAATGATGATCGTAAGTATATGTTAGAGAATGGTAGATACAGTTGTCTTAGCACAATGATGATCGTAAGTGTATGTTAGAGAATGGTAGCTACAGTTGTCTTAGCACAATGATGATCGTAAGTATATGTTAGAGAATGGTAGACACAGTTGTCTTAGCACAATGATGATCGTAAGTATATGTTAGAGAATGGGAGTTACAGTCATCTTAGCACAATGATGATCGTAAATGTATGTTAGAGAATGGGAGTTACAGTTGTCTTAGCACGATGATGATCGTAAGTGTATGTTAGAGAATGGGAGTTACAGTCATCTTAGCACGATGATGATCGTAAGTGTATGTTAGAGAATGGGAGTTACAGTCATCTTAGCACGATGATGATCGTAAGTGTATGTTAGAGAATGGGAGTTACAGTCATCTTAGCACGATGATGATCGTAAGTGTATGATAGAGAATGGGAGTTACAGTCATCTTAGCACGATGATGATCGTAAGTGAATGTTAGAGAATGGGAGTTACACTTACGATCATCATCGTGCTAAGATGACTGTATGTTAGAGAATGGGAGTTACAGTCATCTTAGCACGATGATGATCGTAAGTGTATGATAGAGAATGGGAGTTACAGTCATCTTAGCACGATGATGATCGTAAGTGTATGTTAGAGAATGGGAGTTACAGTCATCTTAGCACGATGATGATCGTAAGTGTATATTAGAGAATGGGAGTTACAGTCATCTTAGCACGATGATGATCGTAAGTGTATGTTAGAGAATGGGAGTTACAGTCATCTTAGCACGATGATGATCGTAAGTGTATGTTAAAGAATGGGAGTTATGATTGTCCTAGCTGTATGATGATCGTAAGTGGATGGAGTTATGAATGTCTTAACACAGGTTGCTTTGTGTAACTGGGCCATGGAGCGTGTGTGGAGTCCTACCACAGATGAAATCCACTCCTTGTAACCTGATGGGGTGAACTTCTTTGGTTGTGTAGACATGGCATCGAACCTCTCATCAGACAGTCCACTACATGAGGCGTTGTGTTTTTAGAGATTATTAACTGAGTCTTTACTGTATTGTCTATATCCTATATGAGGAATACCAAGTAAGTATTACTTTTGCCTGCAGTCTATTATAGACCTGTTCTGTCCCTGTTGGCTAGAATTATATGAAGTAATAATCAATTTACTTAATTTATTTTACTGAGTAAATCATTTTATTTATTTTTTACAAAGATGTTTAAATGTTTGACAAAAAGTGTATTTTCTGATGTCCTGGTAAACACGAGCCCTACCGGAATAAGAAACAGCTCTGACAAAATCAGCATCATGATTACTTCAAGGAATGGAGCAATGCCAGATTCTGTTATCAGTTCTTATGTCTATTGTTGCCATGGTTTATCCTTCTATCACGTCTGTTTCTATTTCAGATTCTTTTCTTGTGGTGGCCTTCTCTAAAAAAATACGTATTGAGTATTCCCAGGCGTCAAACGTCACTGTAGGCCTGGCCTTCAGATATGACACCAAAGGTCAGTTATCTACAATAACATTTGTTTAGCAGAAGTGAACCTTGTCGCCTTCCTGTCTTAGTTTCTGTTTCACCTTCCTGTTCTAGCTTTAGTTTCTGATGATGATGATTTTAAGACCTGATCGTGGCTGCTGATAGCTAATAGGCCACGCACACTTTGAAATTACTGTTTCCTGACGGGGGGAGGGGTGGGGGGGAGGGGGGTCGGGTAGCCTTGTGGTTAGAGCGTTCGCTCACTCACTCACTCACTCACTCACTCACCCACCCACCCACCCACCCACTCACTCACTCACTCACTAACTACCAGTTGGGATATGATTTCTTTTTTCGCGAACACCTGGTGTCATCACTGATTTCCAATGGTCCATTCACATCTTTTTTGCCACTGGAACCTGTTTCAGCGGATAATTGAAACTGGATTTTGTGGTCAGGCTCGGTGACTTGTTTGAATGCGTGTCATTGATACTCATGATATATGTCACTGTGTCCATTTTAAACTGTATAAAATTTGGTTATGCCCAATCTGTTGGATACAATTTGTTTTTAAACATAACTTTGCATTCATGACTCATTTATGTATATATTACTTGTTCTGTCACTATATGGCTGAACTAATGTGGATGCATCATTAAATTTTAACTTGCTCACTCACTCACTCACTGTGTCCTGACGTGATTGTTTATTGCCACATGTAAATGGGGATGTTTGGAGGTTTGGGCTGGGTTTGACTTCCACCGAAATTTGGAAGTGATGCTATTAAACCGGAAGTGATGTTATTAAACCAAAAGTGATGTTATTAAACCAGGAGTGATGTTATTAAACTGGAAGTTATGTTATTAGACCAGAAGTGATGTTATTGAACTAAAAGTGATGTTATTAGACCGGAAGTGATGTTATTAAACTGGAAGTGATGTTATTAAACTGGAAGTGATGTTATTGAAACAGAAGTGATGTTATAAAAATGAAAGTGATGTTATTAAACCGGAAGTGATGTTGTTAAACTGGAAGTGATGTTATTAAACCGGAAGTGATGTTATTAAATCTGAAGTGATGTTATTACACCAGAAGTGATGTTATTAAACCGGAAGTGATGTTATTAGACTGGAGGTGATATTAAACCGGAAGTGCTTATAACATTGATATTGAGGTGGCTATTACATTCTGATTATTTGTTATGCTTTAATGAACATCCTGTGTGTTTGTCAATAAAACTTTTAGAATCTGATTGCAACATGATATATGTTTTTGACAGATCCAGTAGAAGATATTTCAATGCAGATACTAGTACTTTAGGCCCTTGCTTGATGTTTGCTTTAGCATAGTTTCTCTCTGTAGATTGTCTCCTGGCCGCCGAGCTACAGTACGCTGGGAGGGTTTTCGCTCCCTTCTACCTGCCTGGTCAGGGACCCTTAACGTGTCAGTACCACATCCTGGGGCTGCCACAAACACAAGACAAGGTCCTGGCCCTCAGCTTTACGGACTTCAACATCGTCAGCGGCGTCCTCAACATCACAGATGGAAACAGCTTCAACTCCACCAAGGGTGAGTCTACTAGATATTCTTATACATCAACAATAACCCATTAGTGATGTCATCGTATAGATCTTACGTTTCTACAAATACTGGAATGCCCACAAACTCAGTTGCTAGTGTCCATGGCCAGGGCATTCTGGTAGAATTCCTAACGTAACTGAAGAGTTTTACACCCCAAAGATTTATAAACATCCTTGGTTTAAATATAGATTTTTTTATGGTTAAAAATCAAATAAATTTACACGAAAGTTCCATGATGTGAATCAAACATGCAAACTCACATATCTTGTTTAGTGTTATAACCTTCTAAGCCAGCAGGTCAGATGATGAAAGGGTGTTCAGTCTAACATGTCATGACTTCAGTTATCTCCATGCTGCACATTGATTGTCTGTCTCGCTCTCATCTAATTTGTTTTATACCGTGACTACTGTATTGTTTCACTATAAGGTATCCAAATGTTTGTTTTTTATTGTTTCTGGTATTTGTTATGTTTAGACAGTTGATAAGTTTGTTAAAACACCTTGAACACAGGAAACGTTTATTAGTTGGCCCCTGAACTAATTCAGAATATTTGGATCCCACAACTGATCCTTCCAGGGGTTGCACACTCAAATTGAAAACACACTTCAGATTTTGCTTGGTAGTGAGAAGCTCAGCTCCAAAGATCATTTACAGTAGACCACCTCTGTGGTCTAGTGGTAGAGCGTCCGGGAGAGCGGATGGTCTGGGGTTCGATCCCCATCCACGTCATACCAAAAAACTTTAAAGATTATACTTGTTGTTACACTGCCTGGCGCTCGGCATTTAGGGGCTAAAACATGGACTGGTCGCCTCGGAGTCATTATACTGTGTCTGAGTGGGGTATTCATGTTAAACTGCGGCATGGTATCTCTGTGGGCTAGCACCATAAAATCGGCATCAGTCCAGACTTGTACTAGCAGCCACACACACACGCATGCACATCGCTATATAAGTGCAAAAATCTTGGACGCGACAGAAACCCCATTTCACCTCACCTCACCTCAGAAGGTGTCCTTGCTGCATGACAGAGTGGTCTCCCCTTCATCTTATTTTGTTCATGCCGCTCTATTATATGTATGTAGCAGGGCGTGGAGTCATCCCACAGATGACATCCTTACCTTGTCAGCTTGCTGACAGGGTTAACCCCTTTGGTCATGTGGACAAGGCGTCCGACCTCGGATCAGAAGGTCCGTGGTTCGAATCCCATCACGGGACTCGGAAATTTTATGGCGGCTACATGTAGTTACATGCCTTTGTTATTCCAAGTTTAGATGTTGTGACTATACCTAAAGTGATTAGAAAGCTCTTATCACTGTACCACCTTAAGCAAAACAAGGCCATTGCAGACATTTGTGACTAACCATCTTGCATTCTTACAGCATTGAATAGACGGTGTTTCTAAGTTCTAAATGAAGAAATTCTAGATTAGTGTTTTGGTTTTATTGTCAATGGGTTTAGCGAGTAATAAGCTGTTCCTGGTGACACACATTGCATAGCCTGCTGTATAAGGCGACAATGATAAGGATCAACACCTACAGTTCCACTCATACTGGGGACACACACTGCATTGTCTGCTGTATAAGGCGACAATGATAAGGATCAACACCTACAGTTCCACTCATACTGGGGACACACACTGCATTGCCTGCTGTATAAGGCGACAATGATAAGGATCAACACCTACAGTTCCACTCATACTGGGGACACACACTGCATTGCCTGCTGTATAAGGCGACAATGATAAGGATCAACACCTACAGTTTCACTCATACTGGGGACACACACTGTATTGTCTGCTGTATAAGGCGACAATGATAAGGATCAACACCTACAGTTTCACTCATACTGGGGACACACACTGCATTGTCTGCTGTATAAGGCGACAATGATAAGGATCAACACCTACAGTTCCACTCATACTGGGGACACACACTGCATTGCCTGCTGTATAAGGCGACAATGATAAGGATCAACACCTACAGTTCCACTCATACTGGGGACACACACTGCATTGCCTGCTGTATAAGGCGACAATGATAAGGATCAACACCTACAGTTTCACTCATACTGGGGACACACACTGCATTGTCTGCTGTATAAGGCGACAATGATAAGGATCAACACCTACAGTTCCACTCATACTGGGGACACACTGCATTGTCTGCTGTATAAGGCGACAATGATAAGGATCAATACCTACAGTTCCACTCATACTGGGGACACACTGCATTGCCTGCTGTATAAGGCGACAATGATAAGGATCAACACCTACAGTTCCACTCATACTGGGGACACACACTGCATTGTCTGCTGTATAAGGCGACAATGATAAGGATCAACACCTACAGTTCCACTCATACTGGGGACACACGCTGCATTGCCTGCTGTATAAGGCGACAATGATAAGGATCAATACCTACAGTTCCACTCATACTGGGGACACACACTGCATTGTCTGCTGTATAAGGCGACAATGATAAGGATCAACACCTACAGTTCTACTCATACTGGGGACACACACTGCATTGCCTGCTGTATAAGGCGACAATGATAAGGATCAACACCTACAGTTCCACTCATACTGGGGACACACACTGCATTGCCTGCTGTATAAGGCGACAATGATAAGGATCAACACCTTCAGTTCCACTCATACTGGGGACACACTGCATTGTCTGCTGTATAAGGCGACAATGATAAGGATCAATACCTACAGTTCCACTCATACTGGGGACACACACTGCATTGCCTGCTGTATAAGGCGACAATGATAAGGATCAACACCTTCAGTTCCACTCATACTGGGGACACACTGCATTGTCTGCTGTATAAGGCGACAATGATAAGGATCAATACCTACAGTTCCACTCATACTGGGGACACACACTGCATTGCCTGCTGTATAAGGCGACAATGATAAGGATCAACACCTACAGTTCCACTCATACTGGGGACACACTGCATTGTCTGCTGTATAAGGCGACAATGATAAGGATCAACACCTACAGTTCCACTCATACTGGGGACACACACTGCACTGCCTGCTGTATAAGGCGACAATGATAAGGATCAACACCTACAGTTCCACTCATACTGGGGACACACACTGCACTGTCTGCTGTATAAGGCGACAATGATAAGGATCAACACCTACAGTTCCACTCATACTGGTGACACACATTGCATTGTCTGCTGTATAAGGCGACAATGATAAGGATCAACACCTTCAGTTCCACTCATACTGGGGACACACTGCATTGTCTGCTGTATAAGGCGACAATGATAAGGATCAATACCTACAGTTCCACTCATACTGGGGACACACACTGCATTGCCTGCTGTATAAGGCGACAATGATAAGGATCAACACCTTCAGTTCCACTCATACTGGGGACACACTGCATTGTCTGCTGTATAAGGCGACAATGATAAGGATCAATACCTACAGTTCCACTCATACTGGGGACACACACTGCATTGCCTGCTGTATAAGGCGACAATGATAAGGATCAACACCTACAGTTCCACTCATACTGGGGACACACACTGCACTGCCTGCTGTATAAGGCGACAATGATAAGGATCAACACCTACAGTTCCACTCATACTGGGGACACACACTGCACTGCCTGCTGTATAAGGCGACAATGATAAGGATCAACACCTACAGTTCCACTCATACTGGGGACACACACTGCACTGTCTGCTGTATAAGGCGACAATGATAAGGATCAACACCTACAGTTCCACTCATACTGGTGACACACATTGCATTGTCTGCTGTATAAGGCGACAATGATAAGGATCAACACCTACAGTTCCACTCATACTGGGGACACACACTGCACTGCCTGCTGTATAAGGCGACAATGATAAGGATCAACACCTACAGTTCCACTCATACTGGGGACACACTGCATTGTCTGCTGTATAAGGCGACAATGATAAGGATCAACACCTACAGTTCCACTCATACTGGGGACACACTGCATTGTCTGCTGTATAAGGTGACAATGATAAGGATCAACACCTACAGTTCCACTCATACTGGGGACACACACTGCATTGCCTGCTGTATAAGGCGACAATGATAAGGATCAACACCTACAGTTCCACTCATACTGGGGACACACACTGCATTGCCTGCTGTATAAGGCGACAATGATAAGGATCAACACCTACAGTTCCACTCATACTGGGGACACACACTGCATTGCCTGCTGTATAAGGCGACAATGATAAGGATCAACACCTACAGTTCTACTCATACTGGGGACACACACTGCATTGCCTGCTGTATAAGGCGACAATGATAAGGATCAACACCTACAGTTCCACTCATACTGGGGACACACACTGCATTGCCTGCTGTATAAGGCGACAATGATAAGGATCAACACCTTCAGTTCCACTCATACTGGGGACACACTGCATTGTCTGCTGTATAAGGCGACAATGATAAGGATCAATACCTACAGTTCCACACATACTGGGGACACACACTGCATTACCTGCTGTATAAGGCGACAATGATAAGGATCAACACCTACAGTTCCACTCATACTGGGGACACACTGCATTGTCTGCTGTATAAGGCGACAATGATAAGGATCAACACCTACAGTTCCACTCATACTGGGGACACACTGCACTGCCTGCTGTATAAGGCGACAATGATAAGGATCAACACCTACAGTTCCACTCATACTGGGGACACACACTGCACTGCCTGCTGTATAAGGCGACAATGATAAGGATCAACACCTACAGTTCCACTCATACTGGGGACACACACTGCACTGTCTGCTGTATAAGGCGACAATGATAAGGATCAACACCTACAGTTCCACTCATACTGGTGACACACATTGCATTGTCTGCTGTATAAGGCGACAATGATAAGGATCAACACCTACAGTTCCACTCATACTGGGGACACACACTGCACTGCCTGCTGTATAAGGTGACAATGATAAGGATCAACACCTACAGTTCCACTCATACTGGGGACACACACTGCACTGCCTGCTGTATAAGGCGACAATGATAAGGATCAATACCTACAGTTCCACTCATACTGGGGACACACACTGCATTGTCTGCTGTATAAGGCGACAATGATAAGGATCAACACCTACAGTTCCACTCATACTGGGGACACACTGCATTGTCTGCTGTATAAGGCGACAATGATAAGGATCAATACCTACAGTTCCACTCATACTGGGGACACACACTGCATTGTCTGCTGTATAAGGCGACAATGATAAGGATCAACACCTACAGTTCCACTCATACTGGGGACACACACTGCACTGCCTGCTGTATAAGGCGACAATGATAAGGATCAATACCTACAGTTCCACTCATACTGGGGACACACACTGCATTGTCTGCTGTATAAGGCGACAATGATAAGGATCAACACCTACAGTTCCACTCATACTGGGGACACACACTGCATTGTCTGCTGTATAAGGCGACAATGATAAGGATCAACACCTACAGTTCCACTCATACTGGGGACACACACTGCATTGTCTGCTGTATAAGGCGACAATGATAAGGATCAACACCTACAGTTTCACTCATACTGGGGACACACACTGCATTGTCTGCTGTATAAGGCGACAATGATAAGGATCAATACCTACAGTTCCACTCATACTGGGGACACACACTGCATTGTCTGCTGTATAAGGCGACAATGATAAGGATCAACACCTACAGTTCCACTCATCCCCTGGGTCTATACCTCCCTAGTAGACTAGCAGATTAAGCTACATGTTTGCCTTTATGCATTAGGAACGGAAGGTTGCTATTTATGGATTGTCTGGTCCAGACTCAATTTTTTACAGACCGCCGTCATATGGCTGAAATATTGCTGAGTGCTCAACAACAAACAAACAAACAAACAAACAAACAAAGCTATTTAAGAACTTGATTTGAGTGAATAGAGTGAGGCCAAACTGACTTGGAGCTTGCGACAATGCTCCTGCAGTGTTTGACATTGACAATATGAATATTTAACTAATATCACCATAGAAGGACCTTCACAGTTGCGAGCTGCCCCACAAGTCCATTCCAGTGTTTGTCAAATCATTGTGACACAATCATGTTACGGATTATCAGACACATAACAAGTTTGAGTATCTCATAAAAACATCATGCAAAAAAGACATTTAGGAGGCATGGAGTGCGTTTACACAGCAGTTATAAAGATTGTATTGTTATGACTCGTGATTGACTTATCCTTTGAAATATCACACAATAGATGTGAGTGGGGTGCACACATTTCTGTGATCACAGTTACTGTGTGATCTATAGAGCGGGGTAGTTGATAGTGAAACATTGTTATTGTTTCCTCCATTTGGATTCCTGGGGTGACCACTGGCTGTGTCAGTGCAGGCATTTACCCGATGTCACATTCTGCGTTGCATACGAATTGAGAAAATACCTTATTTTCTTGAGTATATTTCACACCCAAGTATAATGTGCACCCCCCTCTAGCAGATTCAGTACTTGGATATGGATTTGTTGAATGGTATTTTCAGTGTTACATGCTCACGGTAGTGTCTTTGCGTTGGGGGGAAAAAACATCAAAACTCATTATGGCGTGTGTAATGCGCACCCCCTTCTACACAGCTGTGTTTTTTGGAAAAAAAGTGTGCACTATACTCAAGAAAATACGGTACACAAAAAAGATACATCCACTAAGACTCAGCAAATGTGTATGCATGTTTAGTAAGGTATGCAGCTATTTCATAAGATTAATTTCCATATGTAATCATTTAGAAAATATAATACACATTTGAATCCTAGATAATATTCGAGCACTAGCACATGCAGTTTCGTTTCAGTTGGGGATCTCTATATCTATTTTTAACTGCCTTGGAATATACGCAGTCTTATGTTGTGTGGTAGTTTTAAGGTTCTAATTATGACATTATGCCCTTATCAATGGGTAACCATGTTTGTAGATCTTATCAACGGGGCACCATGTTTGTAGCCCTTATGATAGGGGCACCATGTTTGTAACCCTTATCACCGGGGCGCCATGTTTGTAGCCCTTATCACAGGGGCGCCATGTTTGTAGCCCTTATCACTGGGGTGCCATGTTTGTAGCCCTTATCACTGGAGCGCCATGTTTGTAGCCCTTATCACCGGGGCACCATGTTTGTAGCTCTTATCACCGGGGCACCATGTTTGTAGCCCTTATCACATGGATGCCATTTTTGTAGCCCTTATCAATGGGGCACCATGTTTGTAGCCCTTATCAATGGGGCACCATGTTTGTAGACCTTATCACCGGGGCACCATGTTTGTAACCCTTATCACCGGGGAACCATGTTTGTAGCCCTTATCACCGGGGAACCATGTTTGTAGCTCTTATCACCGGGGCACCATGTTTGTAGCCCTAATCACTGGGGCGCCATGTTTGTAGCCCTTATCATAGGGGCGCCATGTTTGTAGCCCTTATCACAGGGGTGCCATGTTTGTAGCCCTTATCACCGGGGCACCATGTTTGTAGCTCTTATCACTGGGGCACCATGTTTGTAGCTCTTATCACTGGGGCACCATGTTTGTAGCCCTTATCACCGGGATGCCATGTTTGTAGCCCTTATCACAGGGGCACCATGTTTGTAGCCCTTATCATAGGGGTGCCATGTTTGTAGCCCTTATCAATGGGGCGCCATGTTTGTAGCCCTTATCACCGGGGCACCATGTTTGTAGCCCTTATCAATGGGGCACCATGTTTGTAGCTCTTATCAATGGGGAACCATGTTTGTAGCCCTTATCAATGGGGCACCTTGTTTGTAGCCCTTATCAATGGGGCACCATGTTTGTAGCCCTTATCACCGGGGCACCATGTTTGTAGCCCTTATCACCAGGGCACCATGTTTGTAGCCCTTATCACTGGGGCACCATGTTTGTAGCCCTTATCACCGGGGCACCATGTTTGTAGCCCTTATCACCGGGGCACCATGTTTGTAGCCCTTATCACCGGGGCACCATGTTTGTAGCCCTTATCACCAGGGCACCATGTTTGTAGCCCATATCACCAGGGCACCATGGTTGTAGCCCTTATCACTGGGGCGCATGTTTGTAGCCCTTATCAATGGGATGCCATGTTTGTAGCCCTTATCAGTGGGGCGCCATGTTTGTAGACCTTATCAATGGGGCGCCATGTTTGTAGCCCTTATCACCAGGGCACCATGTTTGTAGCCCTTATCACCGGGGCACCATGTTGGTAGCCCTTATCACAAGGGCACCATGCATATGTTTGTAGCCCTTATCACTGGGGCGCCATGTTCAACATTGCTTGTCATTGAGTGACTTAATTTGATCGAGTGGTCTTTGACTTGGCTGATCATGTGTGAGCCCCCATGGAGATGATAAACTTGGATTAGATGGTATGTGGCTGGATTGGCATGGATTGTTGGTCATGATGTCCCTGTCTGGTCAGTGTCTGCAGTGTGAAGTTCTGGCAATCAGCTGTATGTGCTTTGCTTATGGTTATTATTGTATGTAATATGTATTGTAAAAGCAGAATCTAAAACAACACTATTTTGGAATATACTATTCTTGATAAAATAACAATTTCAGATACAATTCTTCTGATCATTGCATTAAAATTCTTTGAAGTTATAGTTTTGTTTCTTTATTAACCCAATCATCAGTAGATTGGGAGAAAACAAGTGTACTGCTGATTGCTATTTCCAGCTTAGGTTGCAAGAAAATACACAACAGGAAGTAAAATTTAAATGATAAATCATCGTGCCAAGTGATGTTTTTTCTCAAATTTCAATTTTTTATTGACCGAGGTTGTTATCAACTGTTCATTTCACTCTTTTCTCTGAGAGGCTAAGATGTACTCTTTTCCTGCATGTAATACTGGCAAAATCTTTTTTTGCCAAAATAATGAATCCTTTATGCATGGGTGTGCACTATCCAACATTGAAATCCTAGACAATAACAAACCATCTATATTGTGTAGCACATCAACAGTTTCAAAACAGCTATAAATATAACAATAAATGAAAAAAAGACCTCCTTATGGACTAACCTATACTTAATGTTTGATACTTGGGTAGGGGAAGTGTTGAGTGAATTCTACCCAACATCTCCTAGCACTGGCCATGGGATGAAGCCACACAATCATATTTCAACATTGGCTATGTCAGGCCTATACTCCAGTGACACATGCAAGCCATCTGTCTGGTCTTTGGATGGTGGGTCATCCCTCTCCTGGCCCATCCCCACAGGAGATGTGTCTCTCGTGTCAGACACACCACCAAAACGTATCTGATGCTTCAATTCATCTGAAGGACTTGCATCAACAACATCTCTGCCCTTCCTTTTAAAGGAAGACCTTGATAGCAGTGAAGGTCTACCTCTTGAGACTGGAGACAAACCTCCGTCCTGAGGTTTGGGGACTTCTATCAAATTCTGTGACCTTTGTTTCTTTTCCTTGATGGGTTTGATCGTATGTTCTGGGTATTTCCTGGATTTGGCCTGGGGCAACATTTGTAAATATCTCTGCACATCTGAGGATGTGTTGTCAAATTTTAAAGTTTGCACCATCTGCTTCCTCTTCATAATGGAAGAGCCTTTGGAGTAGTTGGTCTGCAAGGAGTCCATCTCCAGGAAGTAGCGGTCCTCCTCAATGGTCGTCTTCTGGCCCACATCAAAATGTTTGACCTTCTTACAAGTTCCACAGCAGACCTTCAACCTGTGGGGCATGATGTTCTCTAGGAACAGAATAATGGATAACCGTTGAAGCTCTCCTTGGGCAAGCTTGTTCTCAGAAACCATGGCACAGGTCTGCGACATCATGGCAATGAGAGCGTTGAGCATGAGGACATAGGTGAGAAGTACAAAGAGGATGAACAGTGTTATAGCCAGCCAGGGGTCTCTCGCCTGGGTGAGGATGTTCAGTTCCGTCAGTCCTAGCATCAGATTAAATAGTGTGAGGAACGTTTCCCCTAGGGAGCGGAAACCTTCAGGTTGGGTTGATAGAAAGGTGATGTAGAGGGCCACTGTGAAAGAGACAAATTCCAAGATAATTATCACAGCAAACCTGACAGCATCCCCTTGCAGGACTTTCTGGATCATGACAGTAAAGAAGCTGAACTTCTTCAGGGCTCGGAGGAAGAACGTGAGGAACCACCACCCCAGCAGCAGCGCCAAGATGAGGAGGTAGTTGTTGGTGGGGGAGAACAAGTACCAGAGTGAATCAACGAGGAGACTGACTGAGAACACACACAACAGTACACGATAGGTCCCGTTGTGATGAATCTTCTTCAAATGGAACTTATAGCCTTGGAATATTCTGCGTCTTATCTCAAACAGAATGATCAGTACTGCTATAACAATATTTAGAATGGTGATTACCAGAACAAATAATGTGGTGTTGTACTCTTTGTTTAGACTTGGGGATGATAGGGGGATGGTTTGAGATTGTTGTGGCTCTGAGTTTATGGTGTGTTGCACACATGTATACACACAGTGGAACAGTGACATGTTGCCTTGGCCTGTGGTGTTGGCTGTGGTACTTCTAGGAAGCTGCTGATTTAATATTTCTGTTTTCACCACAGCATACCAAGTCAAGATCAATATGTAGATGATATGGAGAATGGCCCAAGTCAAATATACCCAACGATATCTGGACCATTTAGCTCTGATTATTGTCCGCATAACCTTCAGATTCAGCACCTCAAATGCTTGTTGAACATCAATTTCACAAATTGTTTCCAGGATGGGTTTGTATGTCTGTTTCAAGGGGTTGGCGCCAGGTTTGTTGTATCGGGTGTTGTTTTGGTTGATATTTGTCAAGGGAGTGTCAATACTTGATACTTTGTTCTTCTGATGTGCCTGAGATTGTTTCATCTTGATGTTGTTTTTTCGCTGCCAGTTTGTCAGGGAAACTGTGTCAATTTCAGTAATGTCATACAGATGAACATCAAACAGCCCGTCATGTCTGTCCAGCTGACAGTAGACACCTTCAATGTTGAGGATGAACCTGAAGATGTCCACTTGCTCCAGCGAGGCGGCAAGTTGCATGGGCGTCTGGTTGCTGTAGTTAGGCAGGAACCAGACTGTCATTGGGTCCTTGTGTGCAAGATGGACACTGGCGCCAGTAGTCAGGACCTCCTCTGTCGGTCTCTCACCGAGCCGTTTATTGATCCCGTGGCACATTTCTATCACAGCATTGGTCTTGTCTGGGTGCAGACATGCATATTTGATCAAGGAGTGGAACACAGTGTCACCATAACTGTTTTGAAAAGATACCATGTCTGATGTTCCATACTTGAACATGAGTTCCAGAATGTGTGTGTCCAGTGTGAGAGCTGCCACTGAGAGGGGCAGCTCCCCCATCATCACCGTGTTGGTGAAGCGGGACCCTGTGGCCAGCATCCGAAGCACCTGGTCCTTGAACCTCTTCACCACACCTGCCTTCAGCAGCATCTTCACAGCAGCGTAGTTACACTTGCTGATGACAATGTGGAGAGTTGTCTGCCCTTCATATTCCCCTGTCCTTGACACCAAGAGAAGGCCGGGACACACCTCAATGATCTTCTTCATGACCGTGACGTCCTCATGGAACTTGGCGGCCAGGTTGAGCAGGGTCTCGTCCTTGTCCCGGTGTGCGGCCAGCAGCTCCGACCCCTCCCGTCCCGTCCTCTGGAGGACATCCAGCTGTGCCATGGCCTCTTCCTCCTTGTCCCGCCCCAGGACCACATTGGTCACCAGTTTCTGTCAGATTGAAATCAATGGTATTAGTACAAGTGTCACTCACTGACAGAACTGTTTCTATTTTCCGATACAGTCACAGAAGAATTAATATATAATTATGTAATTCATAGCTACTATCTTCAGGGATTTGGATGGACTGGGTTCCTATCTAAACCATGCAAACAGCTCGTGCTTCACACCGTTTACATTAACATTCCATATTGATGACATAATAGGTGGTCCCGTTATCCATACTACCCATCTCGCAATCTGATGTCTGGATTATTGAATGAAGAAGTACCATTTGAACAGTACACATCTATATAATTTGTGGCCCAATATGTACTGCAGTATGTATTGCAATACAGCTCTCCCTACTGCTATATATTGCAATCCAGTTTATGTGCCAATATGCCAACCCTAACTGCAAGTATCAGTAACTGGTTAATTCTTCTCCATAAAACATTCCATGACTGTACATTTTAATTTGAAAAATTAACAAGAAAAACAAACTGCCCCATACAACTATATATAAAAGAAAAAATTTAACCTGAAGAATCATTATCGTTATCCAGCCTTGTGTCCACAGTTATAAGACCAGTACCTGAACCTTGTCTACTGAGGAAGTGATCAGTGTTACCTTGAGGAAGCCCTGTGTCCACAGTTATAAGACCTGTACCTGTACCGTGTCTACTGAGGAAGTGATCAGTGTTACCTTGAGGAAGTGATAGTGTTACCTTGAGGAGGTGATAGTGTTACCTTGAGGAAGTGATCAGTGTTACCTTGAGGAAGCCCTGCTGGTCTGTCTGATACAGCCGCTGCTGCTGGGCGGGGTTCATGACCACCAGGTGTTCAGCACACACACTCTCACTCTGGGTAGGGTGTCCGTAGTTGTCATCCCTAGTGGCTCATTGCTGCAAAACAGAGCACCCATAATATAACTTGTTTGATAGGCATCACTCAAACCATATCAGCAACTGCCCCAATCACAACATCACTGGAAAACGTCCAAATCCTCTCCAACAACCTCCATGATTTCACTAGAAGAAAACTAACAGAAGCAGTCAACATTCGCCGCCACAGGCCATCAATCAACAGAGATCAAGGTTATTTCTTCCCATCTGCCTACTATGAACTCATCAAGCAATAATCACTTGTCCTGTTTAATTGGCTTCATGTCCCATTGGCTTCCACCTATATGTTCTCTGTCCATCGTGTTGTGACGGTATTATCCTTCTGTTATCAACATTTACTCATGTTATCCCACTCATGTATGCAATTGTTGTTACTGTTAATGCTCCACCTACTATATATATTCTGTACTTTGTCCCTCATTCAGTCTTGCTTGACAACGGTTTAAGGATCTATACCGAAACATCGCTTTTTACAGTATTAAAGAAGTTGTTATCCATAAAATTGTGTCTACCTTGTCAGCCATAATATAGTCTATCTGGGGATCAGTCACAACTACTGGTATCTTTTCTAGTCATTGCATGACTAAGAGCTATTTGAGCTGAGTTATACATGAATTGGTCTGGCTGTTATTTGACTTTCTTTGACACACATGATTATGCTGAAGTAGGTTTGGCATAAGTATGCATAAGTATGTGTGTTGCTGGTCACTGTGTCAACTCCTGGCTGACTCCCTCGACCTCCACCAGTACCTGCAGAGTTGTACATGTTCCCGCCAATCTGTAAAATGACTGTCACTGTGGCAATTTACAAAACTCCAAACTAGTTCTGTCATTTTACAGTTAGTTATGCATTTTTTATATTATGATAACAAATTCCAAACATTTTTATGTTCTATTTCATCACCTAGGTACTGAAAATGATAGGATTAAAATAAAATGAAAGTCAGTGTATACCTTTATATATTTTTTTAGCTTCTAATCCTAGCATAATTTGTCCATTGTGATGTTTTTAATCCCTTTTGAACTTCTTAATAATTATAATATAATTATAAATTGACTGTAATATTTTGACGTTTTGTAAATTGCCTAAGTGAAAATTTCAGTCATTCTACACATTTCTTCATCGGTGATGTAAATGATGCACTCACTCACTCACTCTTTTCTATAGGTGTGTGCAATGTGACTGTTATACCGGTATATTGCAGTACTGCCGTCACCAATACACATATCACAATACAATCCTTATGTATTGATATTTACCGATACAGTCGTAGAAGAGGTAATATATAATCATATAAAATATATCTACTATCTTGAGGGATTTGGATGGACTGGGTTCTCTATCTAACCCATGTAAATAGCACCCAGCTGTAAAACAGCGGTTTACATTAACAGTCTATATTAATGTTGTAATAGGTAGTCCCATTATCTCAATTACTACCCATCTCACAATCTGAAGTCTGGATTATTGAATGAAGTACCATTTGAACAACAAAAATATATGATTTGGGCCCCAATATGTATTGCAACATGTATTGCAATACAGATCTCTGCACTGTGATAAATTGCAATACAGATCTCTGCACTGTGATATATTGCAATACAGATCTCTGAACTGTGTTATATTGCAATACAGATCTCTGCACTGTGATATATTGCAATACAAATCTCTGTACTGTGATATATTGTAATACAGATCTCTGTACTGTGATATATTGCAATATGATTTATGTGCCAGTATGCCAACCCTACCCTTCTCCCAATGATATCAGTTTTAGATGGAGAGGCTATCTATGGAAGTGTTTTCAGCATGTCTTGAAATGGGAAGGGGAATCTTCTAGCGCTCACTTCAGCTGTAGACACCCATGTCAGTGTTAGTATTGCGAAACTACAGAAAACATAGTGAGCAACACAGAAACTGGTTACTGTTCTCATGATTATGTTATTTCAGACCCATGAAGATCCGGGTTACAATAGGTCTTCAGCAACCCATGCTTGTCGTAAGAGGCGACTGTGGGGATCGGGTGGTCAATCTATCATGATATCGATCACTTGATTGTGTGGTCCAGACTTGATTATTTACAGACCACCATCAGCTGGAATATTGAGTGCATTATTAAACAACAAACAAAACATTATTTCAGATATGTCCGCTGTGATTGTCCAGGTGTTACTGCATTGTGTACATCTCTGTAACTACAAGGCCCATAAAGCTGAAACTTTGCATGAATGATCCCAGCTAAGTGTCTCTAAGATCTGCTCACAGAGTCCTGATCTGATTTCATACAGGCCTCCATAACCATATACACTCAATGTTTTTTTAACCCATTACTTGGCCATTTCTGCATATATCACTATGAAATTTGATACGCTGCAAGTTCCTTTCTTTGAATGATAATGCCTATACGTAAGTTTAAGGTCACTCAAGGTATCAAGATTGACTCTCGGCAAAAATAAGCGTGTTTGTTTCACCTTTTGAATCTATTGCATCAAGGTTGCTTTAAGGCACTATTGATCCCCCTTGCCACAACAAGCTGAAGCTGCAGAAAGTTACTTTTTCTTTATCCACGTCCCCGTTCCACAAAGCTTTCTTAGTGCTAAGGTGATCGTAACTCCCATACTTAACCAAAGGCTTACGATGGTCGTAGCACTGAGATCACTTGTGCATCAGGGCCCAGGTGAGCTACAGAGACTTGTGGCTTGGTTGTTGTATTGACAATGTTGACAAATATTATGTGTTTTGCCTTTTGCATGTGCTATTGGGTATTTGATCCCCTATATCTTTCCATTGGAAAACTCCGCTGATACAGATGTTCCAAACAAAATCAAATACAAGTGCAGCAGCAGAGGTACGACATACAGATCCGACCTACGAAGATCTGAGATAGAATAGGTCGTCAGCAACCCATGCTTGTCGTAAGAGTCGACTAACACGATCGGGTGGTCAGGCTCTCTGACTTGGTTGATGCATGACATCATATTTCAATTGTGTAGATCGATGTTCATGATGTCAATCACTGGATTGTCTGGTCCAGACTCAATTATTTACGGACCACCGTCCCATAGCTGGAATATTGCTGAGAGCAGCATTAAACAACAAACAAACAAACAAACAAACAAACAAAACACACAGAATCCTGCCAATCGATGCAGTCAGAGATGCATGGAATCCTTCATATATTTTGTTTACAGCATACAGGATGCAGCTGAACTTTGTTTACATTGTCTTAGCCTCTGGTTCAGTATATTAAAGTTGTCGGTATTTATTGCTGAGTCATTGTGGGAAAGGCACACATAACACAAAGTCCTCCTTGATCTATAAGAACCTTGGGCAGTTTACTGAGATAAAGGCTGGTTAATCCTGACATATTCAGTGTAAACTGGTTTGGTATAATACTAATATACAAACGGTAGTATTTATGCAGAAACAGTATTGGTGACCAGTACTCACAGTACTCCCAGAAGGAGGTGGGCTGTGGAGGGCTGTACAGTAAGTGTTGCTACTTGGCAAGTCGGCCAACTGTATGGCATCTTTCCAGACTCGCAAGGTAGCGATAGTTATAGTCAAATATTTCAAGATTTGTCGTACGCGGGTGTCAAGGTACACCTAATCACCCAGACAAGGTCACGGGAGAACATTTGTCTTGGGTACAACGGGTATTGATTGCTGACCTCACTGATTGCTTCACACACAGAATGTTCTGGAAACAATGTCATGCTGATTGGCTTCCTTCATCCAACTTGTAATTCTGTATGTTGATGTGATTGTAGCACAATGTCAGACCTGACTGTGTGTGGTATGGTTCCCCAGTGTATCAGTGCTCCACTATGTCAGGTCTGACTGTGTGTGGTATGGTGCCCCAGTGTCAGTCTAGCAGGGTGTGGAGTCATCCCACAGATGACATCCTTACCTTGTCAGTGTAGCAGGGTGTGGAATCATCCCACAGATGACATCTTTACCTTGTCAGTTAAGCAGGGTGTGGAGTCATCCCACAGATGACATCCTTACCTTGTCAGTGTAGCAGGGCGTGGAGTCATCCCACAGATGACATCTTTACCTTGTCAGTGAAGCAGGGAGTAGAATCATCCAACAGATGACATCCTTACCTTGTCAGTGTAGCAGGGCGTAGAGTCATCCCTCAGATAACATCCTTACCTTGTCAGTGTAGCAGGGCGTAGAGTCATCCCACAGATGACATCCTTACCTTGTCAGAGTAGCAGGGCGTGGAGTCATCGCACAGATGACATCCTTACCTTGTCAGTGTAGCAGGGCGTGGAGTCATCCCACAGATGACATCCTTACCTTGTCAGTGTAGCAGGGCGTAGAGTCATCCCACAGATGACATCCTTACCTTGTCAGTGTAGCAGGGCGTAGAGTCATCGCACAGATGACATCCTTACCTTGTCAGTGTAGCAGGGCGTGGAGTCATCCTACAGATGACATCCTTACCTTGTCAGTGTAGCAGGGCGTAGAGTCATCCCACAGATGACATCCTTACCTTGTCAGTGTAGCAGGGCGTGGAGTCATCCCACAGATGACATCTTTACCTTGTCAGTGAAGCAGGGGTTAACCTCTTTGGTCATGTGGACAAGGTGTCCGACCTCGGATCAGAAGGCTCATGGTTCGAATCCCAGCACAGGATTTAGAAATTTTATGGCAGCTACATTCACATCAGCCACATTGGATAGATACTGAAATATGATGAACATCCAAGCAAAACAGATAGTTACTATCCTGGAACTTGCTATAGGAGAGGCTCCCATTTGCAAAGAAAGATGACGGGAATGTCCAAGCAGATAGTTACTGTAATAGAATACCCTGTTCCAGAGACCGATCAATTCAGTGAGGTTCTGATAAGGTCTGGCATGGTAAAATATTAGAATAAACCTGTGATTTTAATATACAAAAATGTTACATTCGATGGTGTATACCATTGGAAACCTCGAGCTCATATTTTTGGTTTCAAATGTACCCAAATGCTATGAAGTCTGCGGTTGCAATAGGTTTGCATTAGTGTAATCGCATCATGGGCGGATACAGAGCGGGGGTGCGCACACCGCCTTTTTATTTCGAAAAAAAGCTGTATCTGCCCATGCGCCTTCCTAACAACCCGTGACAGCCCCCACAGAGATAACCCTAGTCCTGCACCATGACCGTTGAATATATTTATTTTATGAAAAAATAATAATCTAGAAATGCATACAAAAGCAAGTCTAGCCAGCTCAAGCTAGCTCTATTCTGAAATCAGCATAGGGAATTTTTTTTTATTTTTAGAGTCAAGAAGGATATTGTGTAATATAAGATTTCAGAGACTAAATGTTAGTCTAAGATAACCCCTAGTCATTTCCTTGTAAGCTGGTTGTTTATCTATAGATAGTGTGTATGTTCTGTGATTAACTGGGTAGTGTCAACATCTCCTGACTGGCGAGACCCTGTAGGAGTAGGTCAAGCTGAGTCATTGCTAACGGAAATTACAAAATAATCATGATAGGGAAGTTTGTTTTGGGACAGTAACACACAATATTAACTGTTTCTACAGCAGGTGAAAATACACATACATGATTATGAGTGCATTATGATTTTCTTCACTTACTGCATGCACCACCCATGTAGGTAAAGTGGAATGGTTGAAATAGGGATGAAACATTCTTCCAGCTTCTCCCAAGATGACTCTTTATTTACTGCATGCACCGCCCATGTAGGTAAAGTGGAATGGTTGAACTAGGGATGAAACATTCTTCCAGCTTCTCCCAAGATGACTCTTTATTTACTGCATGCACCACCCATGTAGGTAAAGTGGAATGGTTGAACTAGGGATGAAACATTCTTCCAGCTTCTCCCAAGATGACTCTTTATTTACTGCATGCACCACCCATGTAGGTAAAGTGGAATGGTTGAACTAGGGATGAAACATTCTTCCAGCTTCTCCCAAGATGACTCTTTATTTACTGCATGCACCACCCATGTAGGTAAAGTGGAATGGTTGAACTAGGGATGAAACATTCTTCCAGCTTCTCCCAAGATGACTCTTTATTTACTGCATGCACCGCCCATGTAGGTAAAGTGGAATGGTTGAACTAGGGATGAAACATTCTTCCAGCTTCTCCCAAGATGACTCTTTATTTACTGCATGCACCACCCATGTAGGTAAAGTGGAATGGTTGAACTAGGGATGAAACATTCTTCCAGCTTCTCCCAAGATGACTCTTTATTTACTGCATGCACCGCCCATGTAGGTAAAGTGGAATGGTTGAACTAGGGATGAAACATTCTTCCAGCTTCTCCCAAGATGACTCTTTATTTACTGCATGCACCACCCATGTAGGTAAAGTGGAATGGTTGAACTAGGGATGAAACATTCTTCCAGCTTCTCCCAAGATGACTCTTTATTTACTGCATGCACCACCCATGTGGGTAAAGTGGAATGGTTGAAATAGGGGTGAAACATTCTTCCAGCTTCTCCCAAGATGACTCTTTATTTACTGCATGCACCACCCATGTAGGTAAAGTGGAATGGTTGAACTAGGGATGAAACATTCTTCCAGCTTCTCCCAAGATGACTCTTTATTTACTGCATGCACCACCCATGTAGGTAAAGTGGAATGGTTGAACTAGGGATGAAACATTCTTCCAGCTTCTCCCAAGATGACTCTTTATTTACTGCATGTACCACCCATGTAGGTAAAGTGGAATGGTTGAACTAGGGATGAAACATTCTTCCAGCTTCTCCCAAGATGACTCTTTATTTACTGCATGCACCGCCCATGTGGGTAAAGTGGAATGGTTGAAATAGGGTGAAACATTCTTCCAGCTTCTCCCAAGATGACTCTTTATTTACTGCATGCACCACCCATGTAGGTAAAGTGGAATGGTTGAAATAGGGGTGAAACATTCTTCCAGCTTCTCCCAAGATGACTCTTTATTTACTGCATGCACCACCCATGTAGGTAAAGTGGAATGGTTGAAATAGGGGTGAAACATTCTTCCAGCTTCTCCCAAGATGACTCTTTATTTACTGCATGCACCACCCATGTGGGTAAAGTGGAATGGTTGAAATAGGGGTGAAACATTCTTCCAGCTTCTCCCAAGATGACTCTTTATTTACTGCATGCACCACCCATGTAGGTAAAGTGGAATGGTTGAACTAGGGATGAAACATTCTTCCAGCTTCTCCCAAGATGACTCTTTATTTACTGCATGCACCACCCATGTAGGTAAAGTGGAATGGTTGAACTAGGGATGAAACATTCTTCCAGCTTCTCCCAAGATGACTCTTTATTTACTGCATGCACCGCCCATGTAGGTAAAGTGGAATGGTTGAACTAGGGATGAAACATTCTTCCAGCTTCTCCCAAGATGACTCTTTATTTACTGCATGCACCACCCATGTAGGTAAAGTGGAATGGTTGAACTAGGGATGAAACATTCTTCCAGCTTCTCCCAAGATGACTCTTTATTTACTGCATGCACCACCAATGTAGGTAAAGTGGAATGGTTGAACTAGGGATGAAACATTCTTCCAGCTTCTCCCAAGATGACTCTTTATTTACTGCATGCACCACCCATGTAGGTAAAGTGGAATGGTTGAACTAGGGATGAAACATTCTTCCAGCTTCTCCCAAGATGACTCTTTATTTACTGCATGCACCACCCATGTAGGTAAAGTGGAATGGTTGAACTAGGGATGAAACATTCTTCCAGCTTCTCCCAAGATGACTCTTTATTTACTGCATGCACCACCCATGTAGGTAAAGTGGAATGGTTGAACTAGGGATGAAACATTCTTCCAGCTTCTCCCAAGATGACTCTTTATTTACTGCATGCACCACCCATGTAGGTAAAGTGGAATGGTTGAACTAGGGATGAAACATTCTTCCAGCTTCTCCCAAGATGACTCTTTATTTACTGCATGCACCACCCATGTAGGTAAAGTGGAATGGTTGAACTAGGGATGAAACATTCTTCCAGCTTCTCCCAAGATGACTCTTTATTTACTGCATGCACCACCCATGTAGGTAAAGTGGAATGGTTGAACTAGGGATGAAACATTCTTCCAGCTTCTCCCAAGATGACTCTTTATTTACTGCATGCACCACCCATGTAGGTAAAGTGGAATGGTTGAACTAGGGATGAAACATTCTTCCAGCTTCTCCCAAGATGACTCTTTATTTACTGCATGCACCGCCCATGTAGGTAAAGTGGAATGGTTGAACTAGGGATGAAACATTCTTCCAGCTTCTCCCAAGATGACTCTTTATTTACTGCATGCACCACCCATGTAGGTAAAGTGGAATGGTTGAACTAGGGATGAAACATTCTTCCAGCTTCTCCCAAGATGACTCTTTATTTACTGCATGCACCACCCATGTAGGTAAAGTGGAATGGTTGAACTAGGGATGAAACATTCTTCCAGCTTCTCCCAAGATGACTCTTTATTTACTGCTGAGGTTGTGCAGGTAACACACTGATCAGCATTCAGAGTTTGTATTCAATAAATGTTTGAACCAGGATAATAACATTTCAGCCATGTTATTTTGTAAGTTGCTGACATTTGGAGTGGTGGGGTAGCCTAGTGGTTAAGGTTGTCATGCGCCCCGGGTTCAGTTCTAGATTATGACTGACAATGGTGTACAACCCAAGTCACCAATCACTGATGACATCAAGTCACACCATGCAGGATGTGGACTACTTGGACTCCATACACAGCACGAAGCAAAATGGGGGAATTTAATATCATCAAATTTCAGATATATTTTAACAAGTCATGTTTCCAGTCGTGAGGTGACTAACGGCATTAGGTGGTCAGACTCACTGACTTGGTTGATGCATGGCATCGTATCCCAATTGTGTAGATCGATGCTCACGATGTCAATCACTGGATTGTCTAGACCAGACTCGATTATTTACAGACCGCAGTCATATAGCTGGAATATTGCTGAGTGTGGTGTTAAGCAACAAACAAACAATGGTTTGGTGAATAGGGAAATAATTGCCCAGTAGCCACAAAGGTGAAAGTTGATTGTAAATCTCTTGAATTCTGACAAATTAATAACTTAGATGGTTAGATGAATTACAGGGTAATTTGAGAATGTTAGAACACTGCAGTATTTACCTTTCCTAGTTTTCTCCTCCATTGTTGCCCTGGTATTCCTAATGACTGCTGGCAGTGTGCAGGTAGTGCATGGGGGTATTGATTGTAGGCAGGTAGGGGAGAAACAGCGGAGCCTGGCTTAAGGTGAATGAGTAGAGTCCGCTAAGATTGCTGGACTAGCTGCCATGTCATCACATTTTATGTGAATGAGTAATGAGACTGTATTGATTTGTTGTTTGCATGCTGAGTATTGATTCGAGAATTCTATTATTTAAAGGGGGACTCTCCTGTTAAATAGAATTAAGAATACTGTATTTGATGTAATAAGCACCCACAACGATATTTGACTATGTACAGGCTAGTGAACAATCCCAATTAGCACCCCTCCGATTGATCAATGTACACAAGACTTATTTATTCGTGTATAATACACACTCGTATGTTATATGCACCCTTAATTATGGGCAATTAAATCCTCTAAAATATATCTATCGTGTATAATACTCACAGATTCTTCTTCTATATCATTTCAGGCTGTCAATATAAACCATGAAATTTACAATCTTTCAACTGTTTTTTATCACGCCATAATTATGTTCCAATAAGAGCCCCCTATTTCTAATTCTGAGAGCGCTTATTATGCCCTGGTGCTTATTATGTTGAATACAGTAATCAACAAAGATTAGGCCGTAACAAATACATGATTTTATTGCCTGCAAGTACCTACAGACTGTTACGTCGTGTTGGCTTGTTTCTTGATTGTTATGGTCATCCGTGACAATTAGCAATTAGACAGTCACTGTATTTGCGACTGGTGAAGTGGACTATCTCCACCTGTTGCCAATCAGCCCTTGCCCTTACAAAGTGTGTACATGGGAATCACATCATGTAGTTTAATACAAGGTAAACTAGTTTGAAAACAAAATGACTTCCACCTCACATGTTTTGAACTATGGATAGGATTGTAATAACTAATTTATTGTGGCCTTCAAGTTTGATGAGATGTACTGATTGCTATGTAGAATTATTTATCAGGTGTCTTTCACTTCACAGGTAGTGTGGGTTCTTGAAACTGCATCTGCTGGTCCTATATTCACCTGTCTACACATTAGGTATATAGATGGGGGAGGGGGAGGGGGGGAGGGGGGTAAGATTTCCACTTTCAGAATTGTTGAACAATCTGGGAAAATAGATGAGATGCATTCGTCAGCCTGGAGATCGTTACTTTATTTTTAGAACAATGTTAAAGTTTGTTGTTGTTGCTCCAGCTCTTCACTTTCTTTCAAAATGTTTGACCTCTAAACTTTTCATTTCATGTGATATTATAAATGAGTTTAATGTGACTTCTGTGAGTACTATATTTTCATATGGGTGACTGAGATATATCTCACGAAGTATAGGCTGTGGCCTACTGGATCAAGGGTTCTTTTTGTCACATTGAAAGCCTTGGTTCGATTGTGCACATGGGTAGAATGTGTGAAGCCCATGTCTGGTGTCCCTAGCCATGATATTGCTTGAATATTGCTAACCACTGTAAAACCATTCCGTTATTTTGGCAGCTGTTTCTGAGTGTGACTTAACATAGAACATCAGTGTATTAGGACATTTACTCACAGACTCAGCAGTTGGCTTTTAAAACTGCCTCGGTGATAACTTTGTTGATACTTTATGGAATTTTGTGTACAACTTCTTCGTCAATGTTTCTTTGAAGGTCACACTTTCATAAAAGTTGGTATCCAGCAAGAGCTAATCAAGTCTTATTTGTTGCTGAGTCGACCAAGAAAACCTTCATTTGACACTCAAGACAATGCAGTCAGTCTTTTTTACAAGCCTGAGTCATGCAGTTATGTTTTCTTGTGAACTAGTAAGATTGCTTTTGGCTGCCCCTGTGTAAGGAGAAACAATTGGTGAGGAAGATATAAAGAACAAGTTCCGGCTCAGTATTTTGGGGACAAATTGGAAAGACTTAAATTAGTTGAAGCTGTGCAGGAAAATGCGTTCTTTTAAATGTGAGCTGCAGTGCTTTTTGGTGTCCTGTTTCCAGCTATGGGGGGTGATTAGTCTGTAACTACAGACTGGTGTTTCTATGTGCAGGGTCTGCTACTGCGGGGCTCCCTGATGACTTCATCGCCGCGGACAAGGAGGTCAACATCACCTTCACCTTGGCCAATTCCAGCATCACGCAAACATTTGTAGCTGTCTACACCATGGTTGATCAGTGTAAGTGTAGCAGTATGGACACAAACAACACCGGCAACACAGTGAACACGATCAACACAGCAGCACAGTGAATACAACACTAAAGCAGCACAGTGAACACGACACTAAAGCAGCACAGTGAACACGACACTAAAGCAGCACAGTGAACACGACACTAAAGCAGCACAGTGAACACAACACTAAAGCAGCACAGTGAACACGACACTAAAGCAGCACAGTGAACACAACACTAAAGCAGCACAGTGAACACAACACTAAAGCAGCACAGTGAACACGACACTAAAGCAGCACAGTGAACACGACACTAAAGCAGCACAGTGAACACAACACTAAAGCAGCACAGTGAACACAACACTAAAGCAGCACAGTGAACACGACACTAAAGCAGCACAGTGAACACGACACTAAAGCAGCACAGTGAACACGACACTAAAGCAACACAGTGAAGATAACACTAAAGCAGCACAGTGAACATGAACAACACAGCAGCACAGTGAACACAACACTAAAGCAGCACAGTGAACACAACACTAAAGCAGCACAGTGAACACAACACTAAAGCAGCACAGTGAACACAACACTAAAGCAGCACAGTGAACATAACACTAAAGCAGCACAGTGAACATGAACAACACAGCAGCACAGTGAACACGACACTAAAGCAGCACAGTGAACACAACACTAAAGCAGCACAGTGAACACAACACTAAAGCAGCACAGTGAACACGGCACTAAAGCAGCACAGTGAACACAACACTAAAGCAGCACAGTGAACACAACACTAAAGCAGCACAGTGAACACGACACTAAAGCAGCACAGTGAACATGAACAACACTAAAGCAGCACAGTGAACACAACACTATAGCAGCACAGTGAACACGACACTAAAGCAGCACAGTGAACACGACACTAAAGCAACACAGTGAAGATAACACTAAAGCAGCACAGTGAACATGAACAACACAGCAGCACAGTGAACACAACACTAAAGCAGCACAGTGAACACAACACTAAAGCAGCACAGTGAACACAACACTAAAGCAGCACAGTGAACACAACACTAAAGCAGCACAGTGAACATAACACTAAAGCAGCACAGTGAACATGAACAACACAGCAGCACAGTGAACACGACACTAAAGCAGCACAGTGAACACAACACTAAAGCAGCACAGTGAACACAACACTAAAGCAGCACAGTGAACACGGCACTAAAGCAGCACAGTGAACACAACACTAAAGCAGCACAGTGAACACAACACTAAAGCAGCACAGTGAACACGACACTAAAGCAGCACAGTGAACATGAACAACACTAAAGCAGCACAGTGAACACAACACTATAGCAGCACAGTGAACACGACACTAAAGCAGCACAGTGAACATGAACAACACTAAAGCAGCACAGTGAACACGACACTAAAGCAGCACAGTGAACATGAACAACACAGCAGCACAGTGAACACAACACTAAAGCAGCACAGTGAACACAACACTAAAGCAGCACAGTGAACACGATCAACACTATAGCAGCACAGTGAACACGACACTATAGCAGCACAGTGAACATGAACAACACAGCAGCACAGTGAACATGAACAACACTATAGTAACTCAGTGAACATGAACAACACTATAGTAGCACAGTGAACACAACACTAAAGCAGCACAGTGAACATGAACAACACTATAGCAGCACAGTGAACACGATCAACACAGCAGCACAGTGAACACAACACTAAAGCAGCACAGTGAACACGACACTAAAGCAGCACAGTGAACATGAACAACACAGCAGCACAGTGAACATGAACAACACTATAGCAGCACAGTGAACATGAACAACACTATAGCAGCACAGTGAACATGAACAACACTATAGCAGCACAGTGAACATGAACAACACTATAGCAGCTCAGTGAACATGAACAACATTGGAACATCTCTTGTTTCAGACTGCAGCACCATTTTGAATGTGGACAACAACTCCACCATCTCTGTGAACGTGCCCGGAGACAGGTCTCCGCTGACAGACTGTCGCTGGATCCTCCGTGCACAACCAGGGTACACGCTTCTGCTCAACCTGACCACACTCCGTTTGCTGCCAGGCGCTGACAAGGTCATCATCACCGACGGCGGGTCAATGGCGTCACCACTGGTGTCCGAGATGCAGTCTCTGCCCACTGAAGGTCAGCTCTTGACAAACAATGTAAAATCATTTATGTGACATGCCTTATCAATACACCTATCCTATCAACATGGGTTACTTAAGAATTGACTTTCACTTTGTGAGTTCATTGGAGTATGAACCTTCATAGAGTGAGGGCCAAACTATATGAACATCGGAGCTTTCAGTTTTTTACCTCAAAGGATGTAGGTCTAGATCTATACACAATTATATTTAGTATGTGTGACTTCATGTTTACACTGACAGCCATACAACAACCAGCTGTACGGCAGAATAAAATAGTTCCTTAAAAAGAGAAGTGACATGAGCGTATGTATGCACACCATGCTCTTCAGGAACATCTGACGCAACACACGTATTCAAATGATATCACCATTAGATGAGAAAGGGCTGTTGTGAACTACCTCATTAAGACAGTCACAATGACAGTGCGTCGTAATACATCAAGTACAAGACGTCAAAATGGTCGACTCAAGCAACGTGTCGGGACAGATTTCTAAAGTTGGGAATGAATCTGTGGCGGTTACATGTTTTGATCATCATTGATCAATTGGCCGATCATTGAAAGTTAATTAAAGATGTGTCAAATAGACTCGAAGGTAAATTCATAGATTGCTATAGACTGTCACTGTCAGCCTAGACACTGATTGAGTCAATACTTCGATAGTTTGGATATGCATTTCTTCGTTTTGTTCACTGGGATGGGTTGTAGCGAGGATATTTGTGAACGATCATGCAGTCAAACTCTCTGACTTTTCTCAGTGTATGCTAAAACATTGAGAACCTCAACCCCAGTTTTGTGGTCATGTGACAGACCTCTCGTCAAATGGAAAAGCTGTATATCGTGTAAACTTCAAATTAAAAAATTATTCTGATCTTGTTGATTCTCTGGGAGTGAGCTGTGAGTTACTGTGACATAACTCCCTGATCTTGTTGTAGGTGACCTGGTGACCAGCTCTGGGAGTGAGCTGGGAGTTACTGTGACATAACTTCCTGATCTTGTTGTAGGCGACCTGGTGACCAGCTCTGGGAGTGAGCTGGGAGTTACTGTGACATAACTCCCTGATCTTATTGTAGGTGACCTGGTGACCAGCTCTGGGAGTGAGCTGTGAGTTACTGTGACATAACTCCCTGATCTTATTGTAGGTGACCTGGTGACCAGCTCTGGGAGTGAGCTGTGAGTTACTGTGACATAACTTCCTGATCTTGTTGTAGGCGACCTGGTGACCAGCTCTGGGAGTGAGCTGTGTGTTACTCTGACATAACTCCCTGATCTTGTTGTAGGTGGCCTGGTGACCAGCTCTGGGAGTGAGCTGGGAGTTACTGTGACATAACTCCCTGATCTTGTTGTAGGTGACCTGGTGACCAGCTCTGGGAGTGAGCTGTGAGTTACTGTGACATAACTCTCTGATCTTATTGTAGGTGACCTGGTGACCAGCTCTGGGAGTGAGCTGTGAGTTACTGTGACATAACTGCCTGATCTTGTTGTAGGCGACCTGGTGACCAGCTCTGGGAGTGAGCTGTGAGTTACTGTGACATAACTCCCTGATCTTGTTGTAGGTGACCTGGTGACCAGCTCTGGGAGTGAGCTGGGAGTTACTGTGACATAACTCCCTGATCTTGTTGTAGGCGACCTGGTGACCAGCTCTGGGAGTGAGCTGGGAGTTACTGTGACATAACTCCCTGATCTTGCTGTAGGTGACCTGGTGACCAGCTCTGGGAGTGAGCTGTGAGTTACTGTGACATAACTTCCTGATCTTGTTGTAGGTGACCTGGTGACCAGCTCTGGGAGTGAGCTGTGAGTTACTGTGACATAACTTCCTGATCTTGTTGTAGGCGACCTGGTGACCAGCTCTGGGAGTGAGCTGTGAGTTACTGTGACATAACTCCCTGATCTTGTTGTAGGCGACCTGGTGACCAGCTCTTGGAGTGAGCTGTGAGTTACTGTGACATAACTTCCTGATCTTGTTGTAGGCGACCTGGTGACCAGCTCTGGGAGTGAGCTGTGAGTTACTGTGACATAACTCCCTGATCTTGTTGTAGGTGACCTAGTGACCAGCTCTGGGAGTGAGTTGTGGGTGAGGCTGGTGGTCGGGGACGTACCGGGGGATAGGACATTGACTGTGCATGTGTATGAACAAGGTCAGTAGTTACGTCAAACAGGCCTAGATTAGGAATGTGTAGCATGCCAACGAAGAGAGAGCAACAATGTTGAGTTGTTCATATCAAAGTTTTGTTCCAAAAGCTGCAATCACCTGGTTGAGTTTGCAACTAAAGCACACAGGGCAATGCTTGCATGTCTTACAGTAACTCTGTGTTTTTTGGTGAATCATTCTCTGTTTCGTATGGGACCATGTACAAGTCATTATGTGCTTTCTAAAGATGAAGTCCACACAAACCAGAAGATATCCTAATTTCCTTCTGTAATTGTAATGTCCTATTTTACCATGTGTCTGTAACAGCCAACGGCGGCTTCTTCAGTGGCAGTGGCAACATCACCTTGCAGCCCACCCTGGACAACAGCACCACCGCCGCCCTGTACTACCAGTTCTCTGCCCCGCTGGGTCAGCAGGTCCAGATCACCATGTCCACGAACAGCCTGCTCTACCCTCTGGCCTCCCTGGACTTCTACAGCGGCCTGCAGCCCAAGGCCCAACCTCTGGTGTCCTTCATGTGAGTGAATAGGAAGACGTGTCTCTAGTACTCTGATGAATTGTCAGATGACAGGGAGATGTGTCTCTAGTGCCCTGATGAATTGTCAGATGATAGGGAGACGTGTCTCTAGTGCCCTGATGACTTGTCAGATGACAGGGAGATGTGTCTCTAGTGCCCTGATTAATTGTCAGATGATAGGGAGACGTGTCTGTAGAGCCCCGATGAATTGTCAGATGACAGGGAGACGTGTCTCTAGTGCCCTGATGACTTGTCAGATGATAGGGAGACGTGTCTCTAGTGCCCTGATGACTTGTCAGATGACAGGGAGATGTGTCTCTAGTGCCCTGATTAATTGTCAGATGATAGGGAGACGTGTCTGTAGAGCCCCGATGAATTGTCAGATGATAGGGAGACATGTCTGTAGAGTCCTGATGACTTGTCAGATAATAGGGAGACGTGTCTGTAGAGCTCTGTTGAATTGTCAGATGATAGGGAGACGTGTCTGTAGAGCCCCGATGAATTGTCAGATGACAGGGAGACGTGTCTCTAGTGCCCTGATGACTTGTCAGATGACAGGGAGATGTGTCTCTAGTGCCCTGATTAATTGTCAGATGATAGGGAGACGTGTCTGTAGAGCCCCGATGAATTGTCAGATGATAGGGAGACATGTCTCTAGTGCCCTGATGACTTGTCAGATGACAGGGAGACGTGTCTCTAGTGCCCTGATGACTTGTCAGATGATAGGGAGACATGTCTGTAGAGTCCTGATGACTTGTCAGATGATAGGGAGACGTGTTTGTAGAGCCCCGATGACTTGTCAGTGGAGTGGGAGATGTGTCTCTAGTGCCCTGATGAATTGTCAGTGGAGTGGGAGACGTGTCTCTAGTGCCCTGATGAATTGTCAGATGATAGGGAGACGTGTCTGTAGAGCTCTGTTGAATTGTCAGTGGATAGAGAGACATGTCTGTAGAGTCCTGATGAATTGTCAGTGGAGTGGGAGATGTGTCTGTAGAGCCCTGATGAATTTTCAGATAATAGGGAGACGTGTCTGTAGAGCCCCGATGAATTGTCAGATGACAGGGAGACGTGTCTCTAGTGCCCTGATGACTTGTCAGATGATAGGGAGACGTGTCTCTAGTACCCCGATGAATTGTCAGATGACAGGGAGACGTTTCTCTAGTGCCCTGATGACTTGTCAGATGATAGGGAGATGTGTCTCTAGTGCCCTGATGACTTGTCAGATGACAGGGAGACGTGTCTGTAGTGCCCTGATGACTTGTCAGATGATAGGGAGACATGTCTCTAGTGCCCTGATGAATTGTCAGATGATAGGGAGACGTGTCTCTAGTGCCCTGATGACTTGTCAGATGATAGGGAGACGTTTCTCTAGTGCCCTGATGACTTGTCAGATGATAGGGAGACATGTCTCTAGTGCCCTGATGAATTGTCAGTGGAGTGGGAGACGTGTCTCTAGTGCCCTGATGAATTGTCAGTGGAGTGGGAGACGTGTCTCTAGTGCCCTGATGAATTGTCAGATGACAGGGAGACGTGTTTGTAGAGCCCTGATGAATTGTCAGATGACAGGGAGACGTGTCTCTAGTGCCCTGATGAATTGTCAGTGGAGTGGGAGACGTGTCTCTAGTGCCCTGATGAATTGTCAGATGATAGGGAGACGTGTCTCTAGTGCCCTGATGAATTTTCAGATAATAGGGAGACGTGTCTGTAGAGCCCTGATGAATTGTCACATGACAGGGAGACGTTTCTCTAGTGCCCTGATGACTTGTCAGATGATAGGGAGATGTGTCTCTAGTGCCCTGATGACTTGTCAGATGATAGGGAGACATGTCTGTAGAGTCCTGATGACTTGTCAGATGATAGGGAGACGTGTTTGTAGAGCCCCGATGACTTGTCAGATGATAGGGAGACGTGTCTCTAGTGCCCCGATGAATTGTCAGATGACAGGGAGACGTGTCTGTAGAGCTCTGTTGAATTGTCAGTGGATAGGGAGACGTGTCTGTAGAGCCCCGATGAATTGTCAGATGACAGGGAGATGTGTCTCTAGTGCCCTGATGAATTGTCAGATGATAGGGAGACGTGTCTGTAGAGCTCTGTTGAATTGTCAGTGGATAGGGAGACGTGTCTGTAGAGCCCCGATGAATTGTCAGATGATAGGGAGACGTGTCTGTAGAGCCCCGATGACTTGTCAGATGACAGGGAGACGTGTCTCTAGTGCCCTGATGACTTGTCAGATGATAGGGAGACATGTCTCTAGTGCCCTGATGAATTGTCAGATGATAGGGAGACGTGTCTCTAGTGCCCAGATGAATTGTCAGATGACAGGGAGACGTTTCTCTAGTGCCCTGATGACTTGTCAGATGATAGGGAGATGTGTCTCTAGTGCCCTGATGACTTGTCAGATGACAGGGAGACGTGTCTCTAGTGCCCTGATGACTTGTCAGATGATAGGGAGACATGTCTCTAGTGCCCTGATGACTTGTCAGATGATAGGGAGACATGTCTCTAGTGCCCTGATGAATTGTCAGATGATAGGGAGACGTGTCTCTAGTGCCCTGATGACTTGTCAGATGACAGGGAGACGTGTCTCTAGTGCCCTGATGAATTGTCAGATGATAGGGAGACGTGTCTCTAGTGCCCTGATGACTTGTCAGATGACAGGGAGACGTGTCTCTAGTGCCCTGATGACTTGTCAGATGATAGAGAGACATGTCTCTAGTGCCCTGATTAATTGTCAGTGGAGTGGGAGATGTGTCTCTAGTGCCCTGATTAATTGTCAGATGATAGGGAGACGTGTCTGTAGAGTCCTGATGACTTGTCAGATGATAGGGAGACGTGTTTGTAGAGCCCTGATGAATTGTCAGATGACAGGGAGACGTGTCTCTAGTGCCCTGATGAATTGTCAGTGGAGTGGGAGACGTGTCTCTAGTGCCCTGATGAATTGTCAGATGATAGGGAGACGTGTCTGTAGAGCTCTGTTGAATTGTCAGTGGATAGAGAGACATGTCTGTAGAGTCCTGATGAATTGTCAGTGGAGTGGGAGATGTGTCTGTAGAGCTCTGATGAATTTTCAGATAATAGGGAGACGTGTCTGTAGAGCCCTGATGAATTTTCAGATAATAGGGAGACGTGTCTGTAGAGCCCTGATGAATTGTCAGTGGACAAGGAAATGTGTCTGTAGAGCCCTGATGAATTGTCAGTGGAGACAGAGATGTGGTTGTACACATATATTGCTATTGGTAAGCTATTAAAGTCAATAAATCGATTGTTAAATCAGTTTCCGATCAAAAGTATCGATTTCAGTTAGGAATATCAATAGTTTTGATGATATTTACCATATCAATAAAGTACATGCAATGCTGTTCAAATTTGTTTTTCTTTTGATCATGTGTTGTAGTAATTTACACATGGTAATGTGGAAGTTTCTTTTTCTTAACTTTTTACTTTTTACTTTACTTTTTATTTGTTGTTATGGTTATCACATTCAAAGGAAACTTCAGTTCCAAGGTTTAATTCAACTCTAAAATCCATCTGAAAAGATACACTGAAATCTTTTGATATTTATCGCAATGGTTGCTTGCAATATCAATAGTTATCGCAATAGTTTCTTTCAATATCAATAGCTATCGCAATAGTGATTTCCAAACCAATAGTCATCCCTAGAACGTTACCAAGGTTCCGAGGCTACAGCCAAAGCTTTGTCCACAATGAATGGAAATGCAGCTTTTTTCATGTTCCAGTGTTGCAAAAATATATTTCACTTCTGATGTAGATCCACAGTTGACCTTTTTAATGCGGGGGATGTAGGTATGGGCATGTCCGTCCGTCTGTCTGAATCGTTTCCGGAGCAGAACTCGAAAACCGTTAAATATTTCTTCATCAAACTTTGCATTTATAAACCTTAAGTGGTGAAGTTGTGCCTTTTGCTATTTTAGAATTTTTCCAATTTTTTTTATTTTCCAATTTTCATGAAAGCATGCTGGACATAGGCTAACTTTGTGAGTGATGTTTGTTTCCGGAGCATAACTCCGAAAATGTTAAAAATTTCTTCATCAAACTTTGCATTTATAGCACTCAAGTGGTGAAGTTGTGCCTTTTGCTATTTAGGAATTTTAGAAATTTCTATTTTTTACGTTTCCATGGCAACAAGTTGGACTTAGGTTCTATAAGGGTGGTGTTCATTTCCGGAGCGTAACTCAAAAACAGTTAAATATACTAAGAGGCATTAGAAACGCATACTCAATTTTAAGATATAATTTTTTAAGAACATATAAGGTCCGTTTACATTTTACCTTGTTGACACTGTCCATTGTTGGTTATTACTGTAAACATGTCATATGGGTTGCAAACAAAAACTGTTTCTGGAAACGAAGCCAATCACCAAAACGCAACACACCACTGGGAATGCTGCTATCGATGCACATTTTGTGAAAGGCATGATGCACGTGCAAACCTCAAAGGTAGGCCCTATAAATGCACACCATGACATTTTGCCATCACTTGCCTACACACTGCCACGGTTAACGCAAGATCAGCGTAATGAAGCAATGGGGATGTTAAATGCTGGTCGTACCCAAGAACAAGTTGCTGCTCATTTCCATTGCCATCAAATGACAATATCGAGATTACATGAGCGGTTGAGAACCACAGGCAGCGTAAGGGACCATCCTCGACCATGTGCACCGCCTGTGACGTCACAGAGACAAGATCGTCAAATCGTTAACAGCCACCTCAGAAATCGCTTCACGTCTGCCAGGTCAACGGCAAATGCAACCATTGGTCTCCGTTGAAGACACATCAGTGACCGTACAGTACGTCGTCGTCTTGCTGCCAGGAATTTGAGGTGTCGATGACCCTACCGTGGACAAATCTTGACTCAGGCACACAGGCTAGCACGGCAGCGATGGGCAGCTGGTGGAGGTAATCTCGGTGGTAGAGATTGGATACAAGTTGTTTTTTCTGATGAATCACGTTTCACAGTCAGCTACCCTGATGGACGTTTACGTGTATACCGACGCCAACATGAATGATTTACACAACCATGTGTTATTGAACGTGATCGGTTTGGAGGTGTAGGTGTTATGGTTTGGGGAGCAATCAATGCACATTTCCGCTCGGATCTTGTTGTTATTCAGGGGAACCTTAATGCCAGACGTTACATCGACAACGTTCTACAGCCTGTTCTGCTGCCATTACTGACTCAATGTGGTTTACGTCGCCATGTCTTTCAACATGACAATGCAATGCCTCACACTGCCAGGATAACAAATGCCTTCTTGCAACAGAACAACATTAATGTGTTGGACTGGCCTTCAAGGTCCCCAGATTTGAACCCTATAGAACATGTGTGGGATGAACTTGGCCGCCGTGTCCGACGTCAACAAAAACCTCAACAGACGGTTCCACAACTGACTCAAGCTCTTCTGCATCATTGGAGACATATTCCTCAGGCTGCAATTCGTCGACTGTGTCTCTCAATGCCTCGCCGGCTTCAAGCGTGCATTGCTGCACAAGGAGGACACACTCGTTATTGACACCACTCGCCTTTGACGTCATTTTCATAGACATTAATTCTTTGTCACACAGTAACTGTTCATGAAATTCATCAGTGTAATCTTTAATTAGTCATTTGTATTGATTGTCATTTGTATATTTCATTTCAGTAAAAAATTATTGACACTTAAATTTTAGTATGCGTTATTTGTGCCTCTCAGTATACTTTCTTACAAAACTTTGCATGTCTACCAGGCACATACTGAAATGGTGCCTTTTGCTATTTAGGAATTTTTTTATTTATTTTTTTTACGTTTCCATGACAACAAGTTGGACTTTGGTTCTATAGGGTAGAGTTCGTTTCCGGAGCATAACTCAAAACCCATTCAAAACTTTCTAACAAAACTTTGCATATCTATCAGACTCATGCTGAACTGGTGGTGCCTTTTGCTATTTAGGAATTTTAGAAATTTTTAGATTTTATGTTTACATGGTAACAAGTTGGATTTAAGTTGTAACATAGGGTGGGTTCACTTATGGAGTATACCAAATAAACTGGTAAATATAACCTTGCCAAAAATTGCATGTCTATATATAAAGCACATACTGAACTGGTGCCATTTGATATTCAGGAGTTTTAGAAATGTTTATTTTAGAATTTCCATTGCAGCTATTTTGACATGGGCTAAGAGAAATGTTGGGTCAGTTATCTGGTTTGGGACCATAACGTGTTAAAATGGGCAGGGGATATAGATGACTTCGTTGACTATACGCTTGTTTAGTTATTGTTTCTTGTAATTTGTCATTTGTTTGCATAAAAAAACAACACAGAAACACACTTGTTTTACTTTCCATTTCATATGGATGCGACCATAGTGGATCTTTTGTGGGTAAACAATGTATGCTTCTTCAAGAACATTCAACTCTTGACTCATTACATACAGAATTGCACATCTATTTGTGGTTACTTTACAGACAGCTGCCGGGGGGATATGTCATCTTTCTGATGACTCTTGTTATTGCCAGCTGCTCAGTTTAAACATGGTATTGCCATTGAATTGAATTTTATCAGGCAACCTTGTGTCTCATCAGGCAACCTTGTGTCTCATGAGGAAACCTTGTGATATCTCTAAATGTGGAAGTGGAATCCTGTATATGTATTGTCAGCGCCCGACAGCGCCCGACTGGTTAGTACTGATGTACTCACTCTGTTGACAGCACCGACACACAAGCATTCCCAGTGACGTCGCCTAGCAACACGCTGCTGATGGTGGCCAGGAACTTCAATCAGAGGGAAAACTTCAGCCTGGAGTACCAGGCCGTGGACCAAAGTCAGACATACTTCACTTACACTTAGAGCATATAGCCTTGAGTACCAGGCCGTGGACCAAAGTCAGACATACTTCACACTTACACTTAGAGCATATAGCCTGGAGTACCAGGCCGTGGACCAAAGTCAGACATACTTCACTTACACTTAGAGCATATAGCCTGGAGTACCAGGCCGTGGACCAAAGTCAGACATACTTCACACTTACACTTAGAGCATATAGCCTGGAGTACCAGGCCGTGGACCAAAGTCAGACATACTTCACTTACACTTAGAGCATATAGCCTGGAGTACCAGGCCGTGGACCAAAGTCAGACATACTTCACTTACACTTAGAGCATATAGCCTGGAGAACCAGGCCGTGGACCAAAGTCAGACACACTTCACTTACACTTAGAGCATATAGCCTGGAGTACCAGGCTGTGGACCAAAGTCAGACATACTTCACACTTACACTTAGAGCATATAGCCTGGAGTACCAGGCCGTGGACCAAAGTCAGACATACTTCACTTACACTTAGAGCATATAGCCTGGAGTACCAGGCCGTGGACCAAAGTCAGACATACTTCACTTACACTTAGAGCATATAGCCTTGAGTACCAGGCCGTGGACCAAAGTCAGACATACTTCACTTACACTTAGAGCATATAGCCTTGAGTACCAGGCCGTGGACCAAAGTCAGACATACTTCACTTACACTTAGAGTATATAGCCTGGAGTACCAGGCCGTGGACCAAAGTCAGACATACTTCACTTACATTTAGAGTATATAGTCTGGAGTACCAGGTCGTGGACCAAAGTCAGACATACTTCACTTATACTTGGATTATATAGCCTGGAGAACCAGGTCGTGGACCAAAGTCAGACATACTTCACTTACACTTAGAGCATATAGCCTGGAGTACCAGGTCGTGGACCAAAGTCAGACACAGTTCACTTACACTTAGAGCATATAGCCTGGCGTACCAGGCCGTGGACCAGAATCAGATATACTTTACTTATACTTAGAGCATATAGCTTAGAGGACTAGAGTTAGATATTCTTTGTTTATGCTTTTTGTTGCTTAATTGTGGTGGTCTACGATCCTCTATATAAGGCTAGAAGACCTGAGTATGCTGGTCCAGGCTCAGTAAGTTACGACAAAGCTGTAATATTGCTGACAGTGCTCTTGAACAAGACTCACTCACTGATTCAAGATGAGATCTTGGAGCAGTTTGTGCCACAGCTCAGAGCAATATGATGCAGCAATCTAATTTCCAGGGGAATGTTGTCAGTGGTTGTTTTAGCCACTTGCAAGAATTTAGTGTTTTACCAGTAAACACAATGTCAGGTTGTTGTGGCCTCGCTGGGTTGTTCATGATGTGTTTGTGCAGGTTGCAATGTTGTGGCGTCTGGAACCAGGGGAGACTACTCTTTGACCCAGCAGGCTGACCCTGGAACACTGTGTCGCTGGACGGTCAGACCGGCAAGTCAGCAAGGTCAGTGTGAACATCCCTCTCAAATAGGAATGTCCCCGCCTCCGTGGTGTAGTGGTAGAGCGTCTGCCCGGGGAGCGGAAGGTCCAGGACTCGATCCCAGGCCGCATCATACCAAAAGACGTTAAAAGATGGTACTTGTTGTTACCCTGTCTGGCGCTCGGCATTAAGAGGCTAACACAAGGACTGGTCAGCTCGGAGTCAGTATACTGTGTCTGAGTGGGATATTCATGTTAAACTACGGCATGGTATCTCAGTGTGCTAGCACTATAAATCGGCATCAGTCCAGACTAGTACAAGCATCAATAAACATACACTCACGTGCATGCACGTTTGTTTGTTTGTTGTTTAATGCCTCACTCAGCAATATTCCAGCTGTATGATGGCGGTCGAGTCTGGACCAACAATCCAGTGATTGACATCATGAGCATCAATCCACCCAATTGGGATACGATGACATGCATCAACCAAGTCAGCGAGCCTGACCACCCGATCCCCTGAGTTGCCTCTTACGACAAGCATAGTTGCCTTTTATGGATAGCATGGGTTGCTGAAGACCCATTCTTCCCCAGATCTTCATGGGTCTGCATGCACGTCACTATATAAGTGCAATATTCTTGGACACGATGTTAAACCCCATTTCACCTCACCTCACCTCAGTGAGGAATTCTGGAAGTAGATGTGATGTGGAAGAAATGCTGAAGGGGGTGAGAACGGTGGGCAGTTCTTCATGTTAAGCAGCCATCATATAGCTGGAATAGTGCAGAGTGTGGCATTAAACAACAAACACACACACACACAAGCTGACTACAGAAACTAGCTCACCTGTGTGTTAGGAAGTTTGTGAAAGTGTTAATGTTAACACAAACAAGTATCTATCAAATATTTAGGTTTGGGTTATTTATTTAGATCCTAGTCCCTGTCACTGTTCTCATTAGAGTTTGAAGGTGGCTACAATGTACCTGAATGTGTGGCACATGATGTGATCATGGTAACTTCAGGGAAATAATGGACATGTCTTCTCTTGAATACCAGGTACCGTGTCTCTCCGAATTACTAAACTGAGTCTGTCTGGTAATGAGACTGTCACCATCTACAGTGGGATCATGGAGTACGGTACGACCTTGGCAACCTTTGACCTGACCAACATGGCCCAGCAGTTGCCCAAGTTCAGTGCTCCAGCTAGCAAGGGCATTGAGTAAGGGCTTTCAGCCAGTCTTGTGTGATGTGCATGTGGTGTGTAGACAGATATAAGGCAAGGAGTCATCCCACAGATGACGGGGTTAACATCTTTGGTCATATGGGCAAGGTGTCCGACTTCTAATCAGAAGGTCTGTGGTTCAAATCAGGGGGTCGGAAATGAGATGGCTGCTACACTTACATTCCAATTAATTATTGTCTGGCTGGATCGACGGACATTTTGTGTATTCTCAAAATTTTCCATCTTGTTTTAAAAGTGTCTTGCCATGTTTCTCTCTTTGAACTAATTTGACCAACATCACAGATTGTTTTGATTTTAAAAAGCTTTTTGGTCTGTTATATTATTTCTGATTGTGCAGTGTTAAGCTTGAGGCATGCACATTCTGGAACAGCGGAACTGGATCTTATTCTCCAGAGTTTCCTGACACAGTTTCAAGACCCTTCTCTTTGTGCTTGTACCATCCTTGCAGGATTAGCCGTGAGGGTATTATTAGGGGGTAAGGGGGTGGTGGGCAGGGGGAATCGGGGAGAGTCACCCAAAAATATTACAGTCACGAGGGGAGAGTCAATAAAAATTATACATGTATTTTTAGAGGGTTATTATTAATGGTCATTTTAAGATAAAGCATGAAGTGCTTTTGCATTTTGTCTTTTCAGGGAGGGTATTGATAAAAATGTATGAGGACATATGAGCATTTAGGGAGGGTGATTGTTTTTTCATCAACATTCTCTGTCCAACCCCCCTGTAATAAATAGCCAGTCCCTATTATTTTAGTGATGGGAAATTCTTGCATTTTGTAAATGATCAACTTGTTATATCATGGCATGTTTCTGTGACAGACTGGTGTACAAGTCCACCAACACCTGCAAAAACTGTACTTCCCCAGTCGTCATGGCAACATATGCAGTGTCGCAAGGAGGTGGGTACCCGGTAGATTGCTGATGAAGGAGATATGTTCAGAATACCTGCCTGCCCTTTATCCTGTCCTCTGTCATTCAAGATCCTGATGCATTTTGTCTAGGAGGACATTCAAAGTATTATTTCAAATAGTAAAGGACCATATTTGTGAACCTGTCTGGAGTTTGGATTCAATTTTTATCCAGATATTATCAGAGGTGATTCATGCAAAACAACACAAGGAGAATTATCGTTTATCCTTCATTGTTAACAGTACTTTTCAATAATGTATCTCAGAATCCCTTACAGTGTTTGAAAACAGTTGAGGCCGGAAATTGGGGTGGACAAACACCCTATTGAATATGTAATGTACTATGGTCCTGATGCTGTTCCTCCCTCCGGCAGTGTGTGGAGGCCTGCTGACTGAGGCAGCTGGCCAGCTGACCAGCCCAGGCTACCCTGGACTCTACCCCCTCAACTCCGACTGTGTCTGGGACGTCACCAACACCACCACCAACACCACATCCTCACAACTCTTCTACCTCTCCTTCAAATCCTTCCAACTGGGTCAAGGTCACTTTGTCAGGGTCAAGGACACATTCAATGGTACTTCACAGGTGCTTGCCAAATATGGGGGGATGATGACACCAAACGACATCCTTGTAGCAGAGGAGTCGACCAGCGTGGAGTTCACAGCCACATCCCCCAAGACCGGCCCTTTCAACCCTGAACAAGGGTTTGCAGCAAAGTACTGGAAACTGGGTTTGTGCATTTATTCTTGAAATGGAATTATTTGACAAAGGAGTTTCAGTTTCGGTGTGACTTGTAAGCTCACTGTGTGCATTGTGACTGATCTAAGGTTTTTAAGGTGTAAAGACAACTTCCTGCCTTCATGTGTGACAAACAAGTTTGGTTCAGTGATTAGTTCATGTCCGAATTTTCTTGCATTTAAGAACTGAAGCTCACTCAAATTTCTGTCCATCTTTTTCATAACATGTCATAGCAGGATTTGAGGTGAGATTGTGAAAGTTAGCTACATTGACTTGACACTGCAGCTCCACCCCTGAGTATGTCCTTGTTTCCAGACGGTGGAGGTTTAGTGAAGATTTAGCTACATTGACTTGACACTGCAGCTCCACCCCTGAGTATGTCCTTGTTTCCAGACGGTGGAGGTTTAGTGAAGATTTAGCTACATTGACTTGACACTGCAGCTCCACCCCTGAGTATGTCCTTGTTTCCAGACTGTGGTGGTTTAGTGAAGATTTAGCTACATTGACTTGACACTGCAGCTCCACCCCTGAGTATGTCCTTGTTACCAGACTGTGGTGGTTTAGTGAAGATTTAGCTACATTGACTTGACACTGCAGCTCCACACCTGAGTATGTCCTTGTTTCCAGACTGGAGGTTTAGTGAAGATTTAGCTACATTGACTTGACACTGCAGCTCCACCCCTGAGTATGTCCTTGTTTCCAGACTGTGGAGGTTTAGTGAAGATTTAGCTACATTGACTTGACACTGCAGCTCCACCCCTGAGTATGTCCTTGTTTCCAGACTGTGGTGGTTTAGTGAAGATTTAGCTACATTGACTTGACACTGCAGCTCCACCCCTGAGTATGTCCTTGTTTCCAGACGGTGGAGGTTTAGTGAAGATTTAGCTACATTGACTTGACACTGCAGCTCCACCCCTGAGTATGTCCTTGTTTCCAGACTGTGGAGGTTTAGTGAAGATTTAGCTACATTGACTTGACACTGCAGCTCCACCCCTGAGTATGTCCTTGTTTCCAGACTGTGGAGGTTTAGTGAAGATTTAGCTACATTGACTTGACACTGCAGCTCCACCCCTGAGTATGTCCTTGTTTCCAGACTGTGGAGGTTTAGTGAAGATTTAGCTACATTGACTTGACACTGCAGCTCCACCCCTAAGTATGTCCTTATTTCCAGACTGTGGAGGTTTAGTGAAGATTTAGCTACATTGACTTGAAACTGCAGCTCCACCCCTGAGTATGTCCTTATTTCCAGACTGTGGGGGAAACTTCACCACCAACGCTCCAACTGGGAAGTTCGCTACCCCTGGCTACCCCAAACCTGTGACGAAGAGCTCACTGTGTGTCTGGATTGTGGAGTTACCTGCCCATGGGGACAACAGCACTGATCGCAACTCGGTGCAGTTCAAGCTGACCGTCACCAGGGCAGACAAGAAGCAGCTGTAAGTTGATGGCTGCAGACTCATGTAGCATGCTTGCTGACTCAGTTTTACCAGTTCACCTGTAGCTTACTGATTTCAACATCTTAGAACCCCAGGACACTAGGTCCACAGGACAACCAGCTTTGTTTGGAAGTCTGTCAATCAATTAACTGAAAACAGAGGCATGAACTTGAAGTAGGGCATTCGACACCACCATAGGTTTCAGATTTGTTTATGACATTCAAATAAACATTTCATTTCACTGATGACATTAGGATATGAGGACATTAATGTGACTTTGGACTTCCTGTAATGTGCATATATCGACATGATGGAACTATGACTTACTGCCAGTAATTGGAAGAAGAATCCCATTGTTTGTTTGTAAACTGAGTACAGTTGATGCTGCCTGTGATTACACATTCTATTGTACACAGGGGTTTCCTTGATTGAAGATTTAGAATATCAGAAATGTTGTTCACTGAAAATAATTCAGCTGTTAAACTAAAGTTGACTGATGCCTCGTTGCAACAGGGCGTTGTTGACGATCCATGATGGAGGCTCCATCAGGGACCCCCTCCTGCCGGTCGTCTTCAAGAAGACTCAGACTGGAAATGTCATTGCCCGCACCAACACCATCCTGGTGATGTACAACTACACTGCTACCACAGCCCAGGACGGAACCGGGATGGGATTCTCACTCACCTTCAGCGCCTTCAGTAAGTAGAGCACAGAGTGTTGCATCCAACAGATTGTACATAGGATTGTGCCTTCAGTAGGTAGAGCACAGAGTGTTGCATCTAACAGATTGTACATCGGATTGTGCCTTCAGTAGGTAGAGCACAGAGCGTTGCATCCAACAGATTGTACATAGGATTGTGCCTTCAGTAGGCAGAGCATAGAGTGTTGCATCTAACAGATTGTACATAGGATTGGGCCTTCAGTAGGCAGAGCACAGGGCGTTGCATCCAACAGATTGTACATAGGATTGGGCCTTCAGTAGGCAGAGCATAGAGTGTTGCATCTAACAGATTGTACATAGGATTGTGCCTTCAGTAGGCAGAGCACAGAGCGTTGCATCCAACAGATTGTACATAGAATTGTGCCTTCAGTAGGCAGAGCACAGAGCATTGCATATAACAGATTGTACATAGGATTGGGCCTTCAGTAGGTAGAGCACAGAGCGTTGCATCTAACAGATTGTACATAGGATAGGGCCTTCAGTAGGCAGAGCACAGAATGTTGTATCTAACAGATTGTACAAAGGATAGGGCCTTCAGTAGTAGAGCACAGAGCGTTGCATCTAAAAGATTGTTCATAGGATTGTGCCTTCAGCAAGTAGAGCACAGAGCGTTGCATCTAACATAGATTGTACATAGGATTGTTCCTTCAGTAGGTAGAGCACAGAGCGTTGTATCTAACAGATTGTACATAGGATTGTGCCTTCAGTAGGCAGAGCATAGAGTATTGCATCTAACAGATTGTACATAGGATTGTGCCTTCAGTAAGTAGAGCACAGAGCGTTGCATCTAACAGATTGTACATAGGATTGTGCCTTCAGTAGGCAGAGCATAGAGTGTTGTATCTAACAGATTGTACATAGGATTGTGCCTTCAGTAGGTAGAGCACAGAGCATTGCATCTAACAGATTGTACATAGGATTGTGCCTTCAGTAAGTAGAGCACAGAGCATTGCATCTAACAGATTGTACATAGGATTGTGCCTTCAGTAAGTAGAGCACAGAGCGTTGCATCTAACAGATTGTACATAGGATTGTGCCTTCAGTAGGCAGAGCATAGAGTGTTGTATCTAACAGATTGTACATAGGATTGTGCCTTCAGTAGGTAGAGCACAGAGCATTGCATCTAACAGATTGTACATAGGATTGTGCCTTCAGTAAGTAGAGCACAGAGCGTTGCATCTAACAGATTGTACATAGGACTGTGCCTTCAGTAGGCAGAGCATAGAGTGTTGTATCTAACAGATTGTACATAGGATTGTGCCTTCAGTAGGCAGAGCACAGAGCGTTGCATCTAACAGATTGTACATAGGATTGTGCCTTCAGCAAGTAGAGCACAGAGCGTTGCATCTAACAGATTGTTCATAGGATTGTGCCTTCAGTAGGTAGAGCACAGAGCGTTGCATCTAACAGATTGTACATAGGATTGTGCCTTCAGTAGTAGAGCACAGAGCGTTGTATCTAACAGATTGTACATCGGAAACAGGGTGTATTATTAACATATGTGTCGAGGAAAAAGGGTGTATTTGACACATACATGGCGAGGAAACGGTGTATTTGACACATACATTGCGAGGAAACGGTGTATTAGACACATACATGGCAAGGAAACGGTGTATTTGACACATACGCAGCTAGGAAACGGTGTATTTGACACATACGAAGCTAGGAAACGGTGTATTTGACACATACATGGCGAGGAAACACTGTGTATTTGACACACACATAGCTAGGAAACGGTGTGTTTGACACATACATAGGCTAGCTAGGAAATGGTGTGTTTGACACATACGTAGCTAGGAAACAGGGTGTAATTGACACATACATACTTACAAAACACTGTGTGTTTGACACATACATAGCTAGGAAACAGGGTGTATTTGACACATACCTACATGTAGCTAGGAAACAGGGTGTAATTGACACATACATAGCTACAAAACACTGTGTGTTTGACACATACATAGCTAGGAAATGGTGTGTTTGACACATACATAGCTAGGAAATGGTGTGTTTGACACTTACATAGCTAGGAAACAAGGTGACAGACACAGTTGTGTCTAGGAAACAGAGTGAAAGTTAGGTGCCAGATGGGACATTAATCTCCACCATGCACTGTCTCTGCTCCAGGCTGCAACAAGAGCCGGCAGTGCGGCGGGGCCGGCGTCTGCATCCACCCTGACTGGGTGTGCAATGGAGTTGATGACTGCGGGGACATGACCGATGAGAAGAACTGTAACGGCACAAGCCCCGCTGACCGCGCTGGTCTGGGTGAGTAGCACAATATCAAAGTTCAGGATGAAACTATGTGTTCAGGATGAAACTATGTGTTCAGGATGAAACTATGTGTTCAGGGTGAAACTATGTGTTCAGGGTGAAACTATGTGTTCAGGGTGAAACTATGTGTTCAGGGTGAAAAGACAGACTTTACAATCATAACACTACAAGTGTTGTGATGCATTGGCTGCCATGTATCACTCTCCTAGACTTTCAGAAACACTACAAGTGTTGTGATGCATTGGCTGCCATGTATCACTCTCCTAGACTTTCAGAAACACTACAAGTGTTGTGATGCATTGGCTGCCATGTATCACTCTCCTAGACTTTCAGAAACACTACAAGTGTTGTGATGCATTGGCTGCCATGTATCACTCTCCTAGACTTTCAGAAACACTACAAGTGTTGTGATGCATTGGCTGCCATGTATCACTCTGCTAGACTTTCAGAAACACTACAAGTGTTGTGATGCATTGGCTGCCATGTATCACTCTCCTAGACTTTCAGAAACACTACAAGTGTTGTGATGCATTGGCTGCCATGTATCACTCTCCTAGACTTTCAGAAACACTACAAGTGTTGTGATGCATTGGCTGCCATGTATCACTCTCCTAGACTTTCAGAAACACTACAAGTGTTGTGATGCATTTGCTGCCATGTATCACTCTCCTAGACTTTCAGAAACATTACAAGTGTTGTGATGCATTGGCTGCCATGTATCACTCTCCTAGACTTTCAGAAACATTATGCTTGTTTCTTGGTTCCTTTGTTGTTTAATGCTGCACTCAGCAATATTCTATGAACACTCAATACATCCAAAGTTTATTTACTATACTTAATCACTTATCCTTGTGTTATGTGTAATTTGTTGTACTTTCTTAGGATTGTTGGAATCAAACTGTGGGTACTTCAAGACACATGTGCACATGTTCCTATTACGTTGTACAACAATGCGTCAATAATTTATGTTACACTTGCAACAGAACCGTATATTTCAACTTTATGGAATTTATGGAACCAGAGTTTAAGACGGTCAAAAGGCATCAAGCTGGTTTTGTCTGGTGCAACTAGGTTTTCATGTCAACATGCGTCTGGAGCAAGTAAAATCAAGTTTCTTAAATCGAGCCCTGATATATGTAAATGTAATTATTAGCCTACCTGATTGAAAGTCAGAAACCACTTGGCCAATGAAGCTGAAGCGTCTGAGACTAACAACTTATAATGACACCCCAGTTTCCCTAAGACATCTTGATTTGAATATGGCTGGTTCACTGTAATCCCTGTATCAACCATCCCCTGCCCATCTGCTGGGTCAGTCTGTAAGTAATCTAATAAACTACCCCTACTAAGGCTGAAGATTTACACGACAGTCCACATCTTTTTGTGTATATTACAGATTGTTTAAAGACTACAGCAGTGCAGAAGGGGTATTAGAGAAAAGAATAGGTCTTCAGCAACCCATGCTTGCCATGAAAGGCGACTATTCTTGTCGTAAGAGGCAACTAACAGGATCCGCTGGTCAGGCTCCCTGACTTGGTTGATGCGTGTCATCGTATCCCAATTGCGTAGATCGATGCTCATGATGGCAATGACTTTTGAAAAAATAGTGCGGGCAGCGGTGTGGTTTTTTTAAAAATACGGCGGTCTTTATGATGATGTGGGCGCTGCCTGATAACCAAGACTCTTATTTTTTTAGCCTTAAGAAAATTGTGGTCATGAAAGCTTTGAAATTGAGTGTGATTCAAAATATTCCTCTGCTATGCAAAATTTTGTAGGCCATAGACATAACTGCTTATTATCTTGCTTCGTTGACTGTCAAATACAAATACCAGGACAGTTGAGAATGTTTTTGACTAGATATATAGAATAGGATATATAGAATAGGATATATAGAATATGATATATGTCGATAGACTCCGGCAGTATTTGTCTACGTTTGAAATGTCTTGTGCAATGTCTGACATTGTGTGTTCCAGTCAACTCGTACTGGGTTCCCATCTGCATCATCCTGGGGCTGGTGTTTGGGGCCATCCTGGCCTTCCTCATCCCCGCCATCTACCGCAGGATCAAGTACCCCAACTACAGCCAGCTGCGTGACCTCAGTGCCCCTGTCGTCACATAATCACCTTCACCTTTTGACCTTCACCTTGTTGCAAGCTTGTTTCAGAAAGTATATGTTTAATGAGATTTCAGCTACGTGTGCACTTGGCACATATCCAGAGTATTATTGTCTCCAAAGTATCAAGAGCTCTTCCTGCTTTCAAACATGATCAAGGATGAAGAGAGAAATATTTTTATAATGAAGATGATTGCTTTACAGTAATGTACATACTTGTGCATACTTCTATTCAGGATAGCAACTGTTTTTACAAACTGACATCACTGTAATATCACTACTACAAAAAAAGAACATCTTCTGGTGATGGATCATAATTTAGTGAAACTGTCTTGCATCAGTCAGTGATCTGTTAACCTGCCAATCATTTCACAAGCAGTCATGGTAGCGTCAACCGTTCGGTATTGTTCCTGCTATTTTGTTTATAGAACTTATTCATTTTTTAACTAAAATAGTTATTTTGCTAGTTTAGTCTCATGTTAGCATGAGGTTTTTAAGCCATCCTTTAGTTATGGTTTCCTGGCTGGGATGGTGGCTCCTCATCAGATGGTTACCGTATTCAACGTAATAAGCGCCCCGCACTAATAAGCACCCACAGCGATATTTGCTAATGTATTGGCTAGTCAACAATCCCAATTAGCACCCCTTCCGATTGATCAATGTACACAAGACTTATTTATTGGTGTAAAATACTCATTTGTGTGTTATATGCACCCTTAATTATGGGCAATTAAATTCTGAAAAAATATAATCTGTCGTGTATAATACGCACAGACTTTTTTATGGTTTCATTTCAGGCTATCAGCAGAAACCACGAAATTTACGATCTTTCAAATCTGTTTTTTATTTTCACCAAAATTTTAACTAATAAGAGCCCCCTAATTTCTAATTTTGAGAGCACCCTGGGCGCTTATTATGGTATTTCAGAATCTCAGCCCCAACCCTATATGCTCATGGTTAGAGTCGCTGCACTGATCACTGTCGTAACGGATACGACTTTTGTACCTGGTGAAACAGATATACACCGTAGTGTACCTGCATTTACCAGTATCTAGTACCATGTACCCATGTTTAAACTCTCTCCAGAACAGCAGGAGGTTTTCTGACAATCGCCAGTGGAAACAAGTGGTGGACGTTGTTGTCATTCCAGTGGTGTAACGTCTTGTGACAACTTCCTGTCATCAGACACTCTTCAGCCTTCAGTCACAGGATCAGGAGACTTGGTACGTGGAAGAGTGGTGCCGAGAGTGGTACTCATTACGACAATGACGGATTCGGCGATTATATTATTAATCAAGAATACTTACTGCCTGTTACTTAAACATTCCATCAAGCAGATATAACATGTGTTTTTTGTAAGCAGTTGCGCAGTAGTTAAAAACATGATGTGTGGTAACAACTGAAGAAAAGATCTGTTGTACCCCATGGTTGTATTTTGAAAGGTTAGTTGTAGCTGTACTGCACATCATGGGTTTCAGCATAGATTCAAGATATTTCATGGGTTTGGATTACTTGCATGTCTCCTGTTCACCAAATGGTGAACAACCTCTGTAGGACGCAGTCCGTGTTCATTGCTGGTGATAGCTGTGTTGTTTTATATATGTTTGGAAAGGAATAGTAACATTTTGAAAAGCATTGTTCATTCTGGTTTTGAAGAGAATAACTTTATTTGTGTTTAGAAAGAAATTCCAGTTTCACTGTATGATTTTGTTTGTGTCAAAAGTGTTGGATGTGGTTCATGTTGGACTCCCAGGATGGACAGAGATGGTCCAGTGTGTGTGTTTGACATTTGCAAGGGTTGGATTCATAATGAAAGTTAAAGTGGTTCACTTGCATCAACAAGGCAATGTGTACTGCAGACTATTGAGACAAGAGTGTGGCCCATGCTGGGTTTACCAGGACTTGGAGGTGGGGATGGAGCATGCCTCTGAGGAACAGTTCATGGACTGTTCACTGTTTCCGAAGTCTGGGAAACATCCATGCTTGCTGGTGCTAGTAATCACAACGTCAGTGTTGACAAGAAAGCTGCTACTTCAAGAAGTCTTTTCAGATAACTTTCAGTTTTTTAAGAATTCTCTAGCTTGGACATTTTGTAATTGCTGTTGCTTAGGACAGAGAATCTGCTAAATGTTTAGTACAGCGAAACGTCTTGTGCTCTCTACTCGCACATATCATGTAATCTGCTCAAGACAACTACAACATGATGTTATTTGAGCAGTATACTGAGGAGTATTCCAGCTATATGACGACAGTCTGTAAATAATCGAGTCTGACAGTCCAGTGATTGACATCATGAGCATTGATCCATGCAATTGGGATACGACAAGCACAGTTGCCATTAATGACAAGCATGGGTTGCTGAAGACCTATTCTACCCCGGATCTTTACGGGGACACCATGATGTACTGTGTCCGCCATCTTGTACCTCCATCAGCTGTATTCTGAGGGGAGTTCCTGTTTGTTGAACACTGGTCATGATGGTGAGACTGCCTCGGCACTAGATGCTCCTCAAGAGATGATGCTCCAAACACCCTATCTTGGATCTGTTGGCTGTTTTTGTTGACAATTAGTTCAGGTTTAGAAGAATGTTCAAAAGTGTTTTCTCAGAAACCATATCGACCAGAGAGTCCTTGGTAGGTTATAACACCTGGATTCACTGTTGTCATATGTCTTGAGTAATGTTTCTCAAAAGCCTATTTTCTCTGGTTGAAATGTAGTTCTGCTGCCACAGTGTCTTGTGATATTTTACGAAGGTTTACATCTACTAATAACTTTGATTTGTTTTGTTTCAATGACTTTTTAGCCCAAATGTTAGTCAGTTTTCATTTTAAAAGCATAATATGTTGTGTCTGAAAAGTTGTTAAGTTCCTGGTTATACATCACATCTTTCAAGGCAATGCTATATATACCAGATGCTGTATCTGATGACAGTTCCATGATATATACACCTAGAAAAATGCTGAGCAACACATTTGTTTTTATATAGCCCAAATTTCCCAGTGACCTTTGGAAACATCTTCATTGATCTGTTTACTACATGTCTAAGCTAGCTCAGATAGCTGTGACAACTTGGTAAAGAAACAACACTGTATGTTGTTCTTGACACACACAAACAACGGTCCACATCAGGTGACACCAAGACGCTGAGGAAGATATTGAAATGGTAGTCACATAACTGTTGGCAGGGAACATTTACAAAACACGTCCGTACTTCATTGTTTTTGTTGCCTGTGTTTCAATACTTATATGTTACTTTGTATATAAAATCAGGGCGGTTGGATAGCCTAGTGGTTAAAGCATTCGCTCGTCACGCTGAAGACCCAGGTTTGATTCCCGACATGGGTACAATGTGTGAGGCCCATTTCTGGTGTCCCCCACCGTGATATTGTTGGAACGTTGCTAAATGCGGCGTATAACGATATTCAATCACTCACTTGTATACAAAATCAAATGTATTCAACAATGATTATCTTGTATGAAATATAGTGTGTGCGGTGCTTAACATTTTTCCAGGTGTATAAATCAGATTGTCTACAGGATGTCTGGTAGTATCTTTTTGTTTATTTTGAATTTTCCTTGTTCTTGTTAAATACACCCAGACATGAATCAAGTCTTTTTTTGCACTTTACAGACTTTTTGCTTCATCAAATTTATGTGTATGAGTTGTTTTTGTTGAGCTTTTGTTTAGCTTTTGTTTGATGCTGTTTTTTTCATGCACCCTGATGTTTCACAACTCATGTATTCAATTGTACTTCTCCTAGATTGGCCATGGTTATTTTGTCAATACATTCTGCACACCCAAGACACTTTTGTGATATGAATTTGATTTGTCATGTTTTTATTCCCATGTTTCAAACAGCATCAGGTGTTGGCACTACTGCAACTTTAGCTTGTACAAGTGATTTTGAAAAATGGAACACAGTGAGATCCTTCTTATCGAGATTAACACAACCTCCTAACTATTTTATATCTGGAGTTGGGTCTGTACCGTCCTTCACTTAAATGGCTACATATTCTTAAATGTATAAGTATTTTTAGTTAAGCATCCATATCAGAGGGACGTCCTTATGACCCCATGTTAGACATTTTGGGCATCTCTTGATTCAAATACACAGGAAACCTCGCTGACCCTGGGCCTGTCTCAAACACTGACCCACATGACTCCACTTCAGTTAACCTGATATGATTTATTCGATATACTTTGAGATCTTGTCAAATGTTTGTGCAATGACTGAAACCCCCAGTCACCCAGACATATACACATTCACAGTTGTCTGGATAAACAGGATTCCACTGTTGATTTCATGATTCCCTGATGTGTGTCATGATCTGAATATATATGTTGATCTGTGTTATGGCATGTGCAGGGTTAATAATGGGGAGAGTTGTTATCTCAAGTGCTTATTTTCATCATTGTATATTTTGATAATATAAATAAACATTCATATTATCACAACAGCAGAGTTTCTTATTTGTTTTGGCAGTACTCCATCAGATATACCCTGTTTGTATCTCCACATTTATAGATCCAAGGTGAAGGTCACTGTCAACTTCTAACAATATTGTTTATATTGTTTGGCAGTAGAGATTCATTGTCCTACAAGATACATGGTCTAGCTGTAGCAGCCATAACATTTCCCAGTCCCCTGGGTGTATTCCCCTGGGTGTATTCCCCTGGGTGTATTCCCCTGGGTGTATTCCAACTACAGACCTGATCCAGACCTGTGAAGATCGGGTGGAACAGGTCTTCAGACACCCATGCTTGCTGTAACAGGCGACTATGTTTACGGTAAGAGGTGACTAACGGGATCGGGTGGTCACCTCGCTGAATTGGTAGATATATGTCATCGTATCCCAATTGCGTAGATCGATGCTGATGATGCCAACCACTGGATCGTCTGGTCCAGGGTCGATTATTTACAGACCGTCGTCATATAGCTGGAATATTGCTGAGTGTAATATATAACCACCCACCCCAACCCCGAGATCAACCTTAAAGCGTTAAAGAGCGTTTATAAACTGAGGAGCAAAAGAAACTATACTGCTCAAATGATTCTGTATGTTTGATTTTCAGTTGAAAATATTTTAAGTTAGCGATATTGTATCTAAAAAGTGACGCTCAAAGAATACTTCTATGTGTTTTTTATATTTTTAAATATTTCATATTAAACTTCTGACGTCAGTCTTTATTGAACCACATTATATTTATACGAAATTACGCCGCCACAGATTACTTTTTACAAACAGGAATGAGTGATGGTTAAATAAGCATTATCAAATTTAACAGTTCTTTCCATTTCCAATTACATAAAAAAAAAAACTCGGTGTACTTTTTTGGGGCCCTCAGTGTGTATTTCAACAATCATATATACGCAGAAAACATCACGTGACCTGGAACTTATAAAGGAGAAACCAAGAAATTGATATTTTGTGTATGTATTTATTATTTAACGACAAAAACAATGCTTCTATGTTTGTAATGACAAAAAATAAAGAAAACCAGGAGGTGTTTGACAACCTGTATACCTACCTGTATACTTAATGACACATATTTCACGACTGGACATTCATAACAGCGAACACAGCCGGGTTCATAGTGGTTCATAGTGGTACTATGGTTTTGTATCGTACGATGTAGGTGCGATATAACACACTTGTTCTCAATCTGAGAGTTGACAAAAACACAGCACAATCTGACATTTTTCAGAGAATTTGTGATAAAAACGAAGCAGGAAAATCAGGCTACAGACACCCTAAAACTACCACATGTGTATTTACACGAATGAGAAATAGATTCACAAAAACATAATGCTATCAAGCGTGCTACAGGTGATTCAATGTGATAAGAACTAGCTTCCGTGTTGATTGTAAGAACACGGACGAACAAAACTAAATGGACCCGGAAGATATGCACCCAGTCCACTAGTTAACTACGTATGATAACAGCTCACGCACTGTCGTGTGAGTTGACAACTTTATGGATAACGATCATGGCGAGACATCACCCCAGCAATAGTTTTGACCCACTGTAAAACATGGCGCACGACACCGCTATTCAGTTGAAGGATATAGCACAAGCATTTCATTTAATTTGGGTGTTCTTATTTTGGTACAAATATGTTGTTATACATGTTTTAATCTGTCAAACAATTTCGGATTATATTTCCATGTGTTGATCATGATCAGTTTGTTCTGAATGACCACAATGTAAACCACTAGTGACCCAAGCATGCGATATTTTCTTACAATGCATGTCGCGCTAACAAGGTGTCAACTCCACAGTGTATAAGCAGCGAGCCTCACTAAAAGTATTGCCAATGTCCGGCTTCAGATGGGCGTGGCAATTAATCAGCTGCTGTGGCTGCATTTAGTTGATACGACAGGTGTGTGAATTCATAACAATGAAAATAATATTTCGAATAATAAACATTTATGTATGAATGCTCAGTGGAGGATAAACAGGTGTAAAACAATAACATTAACAAAATGAGTCGGCTGGCAAAGCTATGGGCTACACATTGCTTATCCCTGATACACTTCGGGAACGCACTGAACACAACCAGTACACCAAAAACAACCCCATGAAATGCGTCGAGTTTTCTTTCAATGTTTTTCTCTCTTTTTTCATGGTCAGGCAAGCGTTTTGGGGGTAAGAGAGATAAAATCATTATAATTATTAGAGGTTTACTTACAACACTTTCCGTTTCTTCATAATAACACCTTGCAAGTTCCAAACGTGTAACAGTGATTGAGTCAAAATGTAACGTTGCATCGGCATTATACAAACGAGTAACAAATACTACATACATGTAATGTATAATGATTATACTGCCTTAAGTCGATATCTAAATATGATATCACAATGGAAGATATGGGTAGAATATATTCTTGTTATAACGAAAGAACCTGTTAAGATCCAGGTTAGAATAGGTCTTCAGCAACCCATGCTTGCCGTAAGAGGTGACTATGCTTGTTGTAAGAGGCGACTAACGGGATCGGGTGGTCAGGCTCGCTGACTTGGTTTACGCATGCCATCGTATCCCAATTTTGTAGATCGAGGCTCATGATGTCAATCACTGGATTGTCTGGCCCAGATTCGATTTTTTACAGGCCGCCGTCATACAGCTGGAATATTGCTGAGTACGACATTAAACAACAAAAAACGAAAGACCCCAATTGACACGTCTGTTGGTTTTGTTCTTTATCAGAAGTTCACTGATCCGCTTGACAGTTTCAGCTGTGGTGATGTGGAAAAATACGTCGTGAATTGTTAATGGATCTTTGCGGCGCTGAATGATTAAACCCACCGAACTGAGGGTTTGTGCAACCCCATCTGCATAGCAGAACACCACCGCGGCCACCGACTGCGTTCATCCCCGTAGCTTTGCCAGCCATATCATGTAATCAGGTATCGGGACAACAGTATACTATAAGGCTGAGTAATATTGCTAACAACACATTTGTAAGGCCACGGGTCGTGAATGTTATATAACAAATATATGGTTTTAACAAAGGAAACCGAGGTTATATGCACGGATGTCGCAATTATCAGCGTAACTCATACCACTTTTCTAGAACTGATACTTCACCCTAAGATGATAAATACAAAGTGTTAAAATGTCTAGTGTCACGGCTCGGAGAGTACAGAGCTGTAACCTGTATTAACAATCGTCACAAACACTAACGTCATTCCCCGTCAGGCTTAAGAAAAGGGCATGTGATCTTGCCTAATGTGATCAGTTGTTTGTTTGTCGACCAGTAGCCCATGCAGCCGTGTAGTTCTGTTCCCCCATCCCACCCCCATCTAAACCATCTTCCCGTCAGCGACATCTAAATCATCTTCCTGTCCGGGTTTCTAAACCATCTTTCCGTCAGGGCCGTCTAGACCATCTTTCCGTCAGGGTCATTCTTGGCAATACAGCAGGCCACGATTATCAGGATGAGCTGCAAGATAACACATTATTAAACTATCTACGCATATTACATTATCTACGTATGTTACACCATCTACACAAGTTACATTATCTACGCATGTTACACTATCTACGTATGTTACACCATCTACACAAGTTACATTATCTACGCATGTTACACTATCTACGCATGTTACACTATCTACGTATGTTACACTATCTACACACGTTACATTATCTACGCATGTTACATTATCTACGCATGTTACACTATCTACGCATGTTACACTATCTACGTATGTTACACTATCTGCACAAGTTACATTATCTTCGCATGTTACACTATCTACGCATGTTACACCATCTACGTTTGTTACACTATCTACACAAGTTACATTATCTACGCATGTTACATTATTTACGTATGTTACACTATCTACACAAGTTACATTATCTACGTATGTTACACTATCTGCACAAGTTACATGATCTTCGCACGTTACACTATCTACGCATGTTACACCATCTACGTTTGTTACACTATCTACACAAGTTACATTATCTACGCATGTTACATTATTTACGTATGTTACACTATCTACACAAGTTACATTATCTACGCATGTTACATTATCTACGCATGTAACATTATCTATGCATGTTACAATATCTACACAAGTTACACTATCTACACAAGTTACATTATCTACACATGTTACATTATCTACACAAGTTACACTATCTACGTATGTGACACTATCTACACAAGTTACACTATCTACACAAGGTACACTATCTACGTATGTTACACTATCTACACAAGTTACACTATCTACACAAGTTACATTATCTACGCATGTTACATTATCTACACAAGTTACATTATCTACGTATGTTACATTATCTACACAAGTTACATTATCTACGTGTGTTACCTTATCTACACAAGTTACATTATCTACGTGTGTTACCTTATCTACACAAGTTACATTATCTACGCATGTTACATTATCTACGCATGTTACACTATCTACGCATGTTACATTATCTACGCATGTTACACTATCTACGCATGTTACATTATCTACGCATGTTACACTATCTACGCATGTTACATTATCTACGCATGTTACACTATCTACGCATGTTACATTATCTACACAAGTTACATTATATACACAGGCTGCATTATTTACCCATCCTCATAACACTATACATACCTCTAATACGGCAACACCGATGGCCACGCCCAACACGCCGGCGAAATAGGTCTGGGCCAGCTCTCTCAGTTTATCATAGCAACCCTGTAAAGTCACACAGTACAATCTTCAACACATTTTCACAACAGAACGTAGAGGGTGGAAATCGTGGCAAGAACTCTAGTTGTTTCTGAAGGGGTAACAGGAGCCCGTTGACAGAAACATTTGTACTTCATGCATCCATGCTTTGTGTCTGTATTACGACATGCTATGCCTTGGACACAGGGCTCTGGGTTATTTCTATGCACCCCTATCGTCTATCGTATCAACACGCATCGTGTCATTCCCAAACTAGTCGAATGCAAACTGACATTCATCTTTCCATAGCCCACAAGAAGACTTGCATCTTCCCGTCCAGTTTCCACCCTTGCCGAACGATGGAGTTATATTTTGGCACGGATGTCTATGCATAGTCAATTTAAAATCGTGTGTCGAAATCGACATCCGGTTCGTAAACTGCCGTGCAGATTTTGGCCGATTGCAGGATGTACAAGGCATATGTACCGACAACTAAGCGTCAACAGATATTTTCCAAATCTTTTCATGTTTTTAATCAAGGTGCTCATCTGATTTAATGCACTTCGGGAAGTAAGACCCGTTTTATTACAACATAGTTTTGATAATCGATCTGATCGTCTTCACAGTGCGACGCCATTTTGTTTGAAGGAAATGAAAGTGATATGAGGGGTGGAATCTGATTGGTCAATAGGCGGTACATAGAAAGAACATAACTCGTAATTATACCAGTGGAGGCGCTACAATCGAACCCAGAAATACCAGCCTAGTTCGGCAAGGGTGGAAACTTGACTTTTACAGTCAGTTAACTCCCTTGCCTCGGGAAGATGGGAGACTTGTAACGGAATGACAATTTTGATTAAGGAAGTGGTGCGTCCATTTGCGGACACTCGTTCTGTTATGTAGCAGACTAACTTGTTTCACGAACGTCACCGCTTTCCTGGTTCGGCAGGAAGGCGGGCGGCTTGTCTCGGAGTGACACGAGTGGTCACGAATGGTTTGTATGATTAAGGAATGACACGCACAGAATGAGTGAGGGACTTTGGTTTAACGCCGCTTTGAACAGTATTCCAGTTATACCTCGGCGTGTCAGCTTGATGTGGGAGGAAAGCGTTAATGATACCGATCTTAGACGTTTACTACTTCGGTGAAACCCACGAGCACAGGTACGGTGCTGACAAACCTAGAAACATAATCGGGGCGAATCGGGTTCGTCACGGAATGACACGAGTGACCACGAATTACTTGTATGAATGAGATGGCAGTACCAGAATGACTGTTTCCAACAATCTCTTTCTAAACTGCCTGGCAAACGAAAGTATACATACATGTTAAATGGTGGCGATACATGAAACAAACAATAAACGGTTATTCCACGGTGATGCATGTATTTGACACTGGTATCTTGGTTGTGTTTGCAGAGATTCAGCGACTGTTATCAGCCTAGGAACATTTTGATGACGTTTGTAAGTTTTGATCAAGTCCACTTTCTTAGTGTTTACTTTCCTTTGCCCGGCAGTATATCTTGAGAAGCCATATGCACATACCTCTTGGTAGCCCTTAGTTACATCCGTCGGGCAGTTTTGGTCCACAAGGGCACCCATGTAGTCCTCCATACTGTCGGGGAAGGAGTCCTTTTTGGTTGACTTGCAGCAGGTAAATGGAATGACGGCATCAGCAGCACCATTCCATGTCTTGTTGAAATTATGGTAATTAACAAAGTCGCCTGGACCGTTTATCCCGCAACATTCTTGCTGTAAAAAGACAAAGGATTTCTGTGAAAACATGACATGTTAATGTTGTTAGCAAGGACAAATTTACGCTGGCCCACTAGTCAGTGACCAGTCAATCTCATTAAAAGATCTGAGGACGTCCCATTACGGGTCACGTCAGAACGACCTTTCATCAGACCAATCAAAACGTCGCTTACCAGATCATGAAAGTGACAGTCGGAATGTGTTATCATGCAACCTCGAAAACGTTAACACGGGATATTCAGAACGACAGTTGCGGCCCGTACGAGTGATTCCGTCAAAATTATCCATTCGTGACCAACTCGTGATATTCCGGGACAAGCCGCATAGCGACTCGTGCCCCTCTCGTGGCCATTTTTGCGATCGAGGTCCGTCTTAGCGCAAACGGGCATACCTAAAACAATTGTCAACTCGTTGCGTAATGGTTCACATCGTTTTCTCCATATACAATATATAATGTAGATGCAATTTAAAGCACAGCTGGACATGCTGAATTATACAGTATGTTTGAACACATTTAATATTTTTAGATGCAAGACATATGTAAAATCAAAAATTATTCCTGAGGGATTTTTTGACGAAGAACTTGAAGTCATACGCGCATTCTGATTGGTTTGTCGTATTTTCGCACAGAACATTCATCGATAGGGGGAAGAGTCTTCTTGCAGGTTACGGAAAGGGGCGAGTGGTGACGAATGAAAATTATCGTCTATCTCACGCTTCCGTGGGATAAACGTTTGAACGGAGGAGGCGTTGCACAGTACGTTGCCATACAATCGCAACCATATATTAGACATTCCGGAATGTTCGTTTGTTCAGTTTTCAAAGTTTTAATCGAGAACTGTGTCAACATATTTTTCAAGCGTTTTCTGAAACGGAAGTCGCAAGGTTGAAACGAGTGCCGTAAAGCTCGAGAAAACCGCTTTGTAATTGGCTGATGTCGACTTCTTGTTAGTCGTTTCAGTGGTCGGTCAAAGTTCGCGAAAGGTCGTTCTGACGTGACTCGTAATGGGATGTCCCCGGATCTTAGTTTAGCGGAAGCAAGAACTTAGATCTGATTTTAATAAGATTGTTGACCAGTGAAACAGAAATCCGGACAAGTATTTGTTACTATGACAGGGCAGTATCGCGTGGTTTATCTTTATTAGAATAAAAGAACAATCATTTGAAGAATATTGTGATATTAAGATGTAAACTGTTAGTGAAATTAATTGCAGATGTCTCGTACAAGTCTGTGAGACTAGGGATCTATATAGTGTACGTGAGGATCCTGGGTCAGTCGGGTATCCTATGCTTGTAAAAAGCGACTGAATGGATCGATCGATCGACTTGATTGACTGTATGTCATCATGCAGTTGCGTTGATCGATACTCATGATGTCAATCACTGGATTGTCTGGTCAAGGCTTAAGATTACCGACAGACCACTATCTTATAGCTGGAACAATTATCTGTGACACTGGTCGCGTTTGTTCCACGTTTTAAGCCCATATGAATATTGTCTAAATACCTGACTAAAGAAGGGTGAACAATGGGGTGACCACACAGACACATTGCGGACATTAAAACCTGACAGGATTGATCACAGTGTTCACATACATGGCGCAATGTTCGCCCGGTTCACGGGCAACCTACCGATGCCTGCAGAACGTCCAGAGCAAAAGAGATGACGTCACTGCGATCGTAAGGTCCCTTATACTTCTCTGGCATTGTCTCATTCAGGAACGGTTTGGCAAAGCTGTCGAACTGTGGAACAGGTATTTGAAACATTGTAGTACAACCCAGGCTAAAATATACCCCCCCCCCAAAAAAAACAAAAAAAACAAAAAAACAAAAACAACAACAACAAATATTGAAAGGGAAATAATAGAGAGAAAGTACACTTATGAGTCTTTATAAGTTATGATATTATCAAAACTTAACAAGAATGCTTGTAAAAATAAAACAGTTAAATTAGAAAAAAGATTCATAATTTCGTTCCCCTCAACATTATCAAGGTTCGGTGTTCTCTGCTGAGTAACAAGATACAATAACCGGAAGGACGGGAGTTTTTCCTCTAGGTAGTCTTGGAGTAAGGCTAGTTAGAGTGGTAACTATGGAGATACGCACCTGGCTACTGAACACGCCTACAGCAATTCCTGCAGCTACCTGTATGACCAGGATGATACCGACCAACACGCCGTACTGAAATGGGAAAAACTTATGAGACACTGTCACTGTGTTTGCTTGTGTGATGTCACACCCGCGTTTCACTGGCTGCCCAGTGACTGAATTCACAACAAAGCATAACGTTGTCTTTTTGTATTACAGGCGATGAAGGAAGGTTTTCATAAACCCTTCATAATTACATGTGCTTTCTTTACTGATGACTGCTTGTAAAATCCGCTTCAACTGGGCCCATTCACACGAAGCGATAGAAGCGGTACTCATGTTTTACATTATTAAGACTATTTAGAGCCATATAGCTTGAGTTTGCTTCGTGCATGTGGCCCCAGAGCATCGTAAGTTTAGGTTAAAGGTTAGCTAAGATCGCTATATGGGACGACTCCAAATGTTGGAGCAAGTAAACAGGTGTTCGACTAACGGGCGGTCGTTGTACATACAATTTGTATTCTCAACTCCCTGGGGAGTATACACTGTACAGACGCAGCTACTGACCGTGATGAGGCAGCACCTGGACTTCTTGATGGCCCCGCAGAAGCCGAAGACGGAGATGACGAAGACGAGGGCCCCCACGGCAATGAGGATGTAGGCCCCACTCTCCAGCAGAGACGGCACGTCATAAGCCTTTAAGTCGTCTACCTTGTCGCTCGAGTACCGGAACAAGGAGATCACATGGGTCTTGTCAACGACGACCCAGATGCCAATGCCAAGACATAAGACACCAAAAATCTGTAAAAGAAAGCACAACGTACTGTAATCGAATACTTAAGTTTTAGCTCACCTGTCTGAAAGTCAAGTTGACATTTCAAACAGTTGACTACACACTATTCGTATATATATTCAGGTGAGCTACAGTGCCGGGGTTTGGATTGGGGTTCTGCAGTAGGTCGACGAAAGGGAGAGGCAGCAATTCTGAATGTATCTAAATAGTTGGTAAGATTTATCAATGCAAACATAAAGCAAACTACATTCCTGGTAGAAGCGTTGCACCTGGATTAGCTAATCAATTTCAGTGTATGACTTTCAACCTATGAAGATCTGGAGTAGAATAGGTCTTCATCAACCCATGCTTGCCGTAACATACAACTATGCTTGTCGTAAGAGGCGACTAACGGGTGGCCAGGTGCGCTGACTTGGTTGATGCCTGTCATCGTATCCCATGCTCATGATGTCAATCACTGGATTGTCTGGTCCAGACTCGATTATGTACTGACCGCCGTCATATAGCTGGAATAGTGCGGCGTTAAACAACAAACAAACAAACAAGTTTATGACTTTCAACATAAGTATGTATGTCGTCAGGAAAGGAACACAGGCTGCGATTAATAATTGAAATATATAGTTATCGGTGAATGTTTGTTGGTTGTTTTTGCAATCGGCAATAACATGACATTCTGTAAATAATCGAGTTTGGACCAGACAATCAAGTGATTGACATCATGAACATCGATCTACGCAATTTCCATATGATGACATACATATGTAGCCAGTGTTGGTCTAGATTGACACCCTGATACCCGGGTGTATATGTCTACACCCTCCGTAGCCATATAGTGGGTTGGGAGTGTTTTGCCATGCTGCCCTCATAACCTCAGTACTGGTACATGCATATAGATTTATATATACATATCCAAGCGGTGTACATTGCTATTATCAACAACAAAATTATGTTATTCAACCCGACAACTAAATTAAAGGTTTTCTCGTCGAGAATATGCGCAGTATGTGTTTTAAGTTCCAGATTTAGATAAGCATTAAATTGTTTAAATTTGAAACTATTGTAAACTGTCTATGTGTATTTACTCCCCAAGAGGAAATTCTAAATGTGAGGATTGCAAATGTGATTTTAGATTTGTTTGAAAAACAACAACGATTACCTTCCTGTTTACTGTCAAGAGAATTTGGTAACATTTGAATTTGAATTTGAATAGTGAAATATAAAGTTGTACATTAAAATTGATGTGGCTACGGTTTGATGCGCAGAAACGACAGCAAACATCAGCCAATACGAGATAAAACTATGTTATATAAAATCTAATTTAATGTGTAAAACGTTTTAACGTATTTTCAAGCTATAGTGATTTAATCAGCTTTATTCCTATTGAGCCGCCACGATATCAATGAATCACCAGCACTTCCTGCTACCCTATTGTCGCTTATTTGAATTATTTATGTTGCTAGGTCAAAGGAGGAACACAGGGGCAGAAACAGATTTATAGTCATGAATTTAGAGCAAATCGTGTCACATTGGGTTGGTGAGTCCAATACGACAATTATTCAGACCAACATGTATTAGAAAAGCAGATATCCGAAATGTCGCAATCCTTATCTCAGATCAATAGTTTCCTCCAAACTAAAGCCCAATGTCTGTGTCACATGTTTGAAGCGCTTAGCAACTAGGAAACCAGTCACTCTTTAATCAGGGCTACACCCGCAACCAGAAGAATCTGCTTGGCCTGGGCGAAGTATGTATAATGAGTATACTGTAGCCATACTTACCAAGAATATTATGTTGAAGACAATGAGGAAACACCGAGCTAGGCCTTGACACATTGTGAAGTTTTATTGGGGATTTTCTTAAACCTGAAAGATAATAATAATAATAATAATAATAATGAGTGAGTGAGTGAGTGAGTGAGTGAGTGAGTTTGGTTTTACGCCGCTTTTAGCAATATTCCAGCAATATCACGGCGGGGGACACCAGAAATGGGCTTCACACATTGTACCCATGTCGGGATTCGAACCCGGGTCTTCGGCGTGACGAGCGAACGCTTTAACCACTAGGCTACCCGACCGCCCCTGATGATGATGATGATGATGATGAACAACAACAAGAACAACACCAGCAACCATAATGATAATAAAAATAATAACAACAACAATAATAATGTGAGGTTGATGATTTTGATGCTAATGGTGGGGATGATGATGATCATAACTATCATCACTGACAGGTAAATAATACAAACATGTATACGCATCAAAATGAACCAATGAAACCCGTCAGATGGTTTGTGATTTACAAACCTACACCATGTTATGGTTATTACTGATATCATATTATCACGATGATCGTTTGTTATCAGCCTACCACCGCTCCATCTTTCCTAGAAGAGTAGTTGCCACAAAACAACATACACTTTATGTCACTCAAAAAATAAGAGCACACCATGATAACATGTTGCTCGTCTTATCTCAGCCGAACATACGGGCACATCTATCACAAGGTAAACCTAGAGCAATTGTCATAGGATAACCTTTTCATATTTTCTCTCAATGTCGACAATTCTACCAAATTATTACACATTATACGTTATAGTGGCCAAATGGTCTACAACTCACAGGGGACAAACAACACCGACAGCATCTCGCTCACTAGGAACATAATCTTGGCGATAATTACGTAATATAGATGATAGAAAATAAGCTAAGCCATTTGTCTTGTTGGATATGCAACTCATTTATCCCTACGAGATGATGGAAACCCGACTTTCCGGAATATCGAGGTTCCCCTATATACAAACATACCTGTCCTGTACCAGACACCCTTTTGTTTAATCAATCGATTAAGGATAACAAGCATTGACTACTGGTTCATATAACACATCCACTTATAACTTCAATTTTACAAATTTATAATTTAAATGAATTTTGCTACCACATATGATATGCAATTTTACGTTGATTTCAAGCGTCGACCTACAAGCTTTCCACGCTATCAGTGCTACCTTTTACATTTCTTACCTGAATGTAATACACGTATGTTATCTCAGGAGCTAATGTCAAATAATTCCTTATCGCCTAACTTCACCAGGCTAAGTAGACACTGAAATATTTGACCAGTCACACGGTACTTATATCTGAACTAGCGTAGGCAGTGACGTCATCGTTAGTCACTTGTAAACAATCTTTCAAGTCCTGCTAAAGATAAGAGATTGTAGCACACTTATTTTTAACTTCCTCGTAATGTCATTTGGGTGACCTAGTTTGGCTAATGAGGTATTCAAATTAAACAATACCAAGAAATATAGCCTACTGGCAAAATTAAAAGTCGCTTGACACAAATGTCGTTTAAGCAAACCAAGAAGAATCCAATATGTTAATATCCACTTAAGTTAGTTCTTTATTGTACGTTCCCAGTTTCACATATACCACTTTCATATTCTTCTTTAATATTTCACGAAACGAAATAACGTCATTTGGACTAAGTTTAGATAGTCTCTGTTCTATTTAGACACTGTCTGCATATGAAGGAATTGACCTGAAAGTTGTAGCGCAGGCACTCCCCACGATGTAATACTATACGTCAGCGAGAAATCATGTCAGTCGTTCTTTTCTCCCTCGTGACTCGCCGATTGCTCAACACCGTATGACGCTCCACTTGTTGTTTTTCTGAAGACGGCTAGCTGAGTCCTGATCCGGATGTAAGCGTTATATAAACGTGTATGACTGATCGAATCGTGACAGCGAGTGTATTGTTGATAGCGACGCTACCAACACCCTGCATGTGATGCAACATCCAGTGTTTACTCTGGAATGTGTGTATTGTCTTATGACGGCTGCGGTGCCCGCCACTTCGATCCCGTCTCTCGGAAGTGGCGTCTGTAAATACACCGGCATGAAAGCCTCTTACAGTGTCGGCGTTGAAGGTTGCCAACACAAGGAAATGGATTTTTTTGGCATTATACGAATTAAACAAAGTTCGATGGCATGATATGTGACGAAATGTTGACACACCGTTACTGCTGTCGTGTTGTAGTTGAACGTTGACAGATGGAACGCCAATCTAACTATTCCAGTTATCACTGCCATAGGTGGGCCCAGAGGAGGCGTGGGGGAGGCGGGTCCCCCCTCGCCCCTCCTTTTGAAATCCAAATGTATAGGTTGTAGGCAGTAATTGACGAGGGTTTTTTGATATTTTGGACCCCTCCCTTTAAAAAAATGCGGGATCTGCCCTTGACTCGTGTTATCATTGATAACATTACCCCTTAGCGCCGAGGGAAACGGTGTATCGTCGTCTTCATTGTCAGATTGTAGTTATTATTCGTTATCGCTTTGGTTCGGATGGTACGGTCAATCTGTGGTTTAACTCGCCACAACGCACTTAGCAGTACTGCACGGTGCAGTACCATGGTCAATAGATTGTCTGCCAGTGATCCCTACATGAAACGACGGAGTCTACTAAAGTCTACAGTGACAAATGCCTACAGTTTAAAAACCAAATGTATGCACCAGCGGTTTTCTCAGTTATTACCTTCAACCCTGAAATACAGTGGTATCTTTCTGCTCGGTCTGGTAGACAAATGACAACATGAATGATATTACACTAAAACGGTTATAGGCGTTGTGTGATTGTTTATTATCCATGTTTTCAGACATACAATAACACAGTCTCAGCCATTAAGGGAATTCGTCCATCATGACTAAATGTCAAAAGTTGCAAACGTTGATGACAGCGCCACTTTTGCATTCCCCGCTTAAAACCGAGACGCCGAGATGTAATCGGAAATCTGTTCAAAGCTGAACCCAACCGGTTCACTGTAACCATCGTTCCACATGGGCAGAGCAAGGATGGTCTGTATGCATGGCTCTGTGCCACGAACTTGTACAGACATGTCTACCTGGGTCTCTCTCCCGGGACCCCACAATGCAGTAGTGTGACATGCGCCTAACCCCTGAACTTCGCTGTCTACCAGCTGTAATTCCAGCTGCGATTGTCTTGTTGTCGGCTAAACACGTCATGCATAAAAGCCTTCCAGCGTAGAAAGCTGTTATCTGAGGATAATATTCAGTTTTATGTTTATATAATATCTGACCAACTTATTTTAATAAGGTTTAATAAGCTTGCCCCGGAAACCTATTTAAAATCACTCGAATCAAATATCTTGATATCCATATTCATATTGATTGACAAGCAGGATCTGGAACCATACACAGGTTATTTATGATGTAGATAAAATCTACAACCTTTTAGGATATTCCATTTTGACCTAAATAGTAATTTACACTTAATATTTCCAACTGCACAGATCATTTAAAGGGCCTCTTCCACGAAACTGGATCACGTGCATATATTTATATTCCGTTAACGTTCAGAGAACTATGTCGCACGTGCCTTTCATGCTAACTGTGATAATTGACCGTGTTTTAAATAAGATAGCAGTTCGCTTGGGGAAGTACAACGGTTGATTAGAATTCTCGGTTTTGCCAGCATTGTTGAACCTTTCAGATGATGCTCTGAGTGCAACTTCGTTAAACCGGAAACGTTCTCAATACAATGTCCAGATAAACATATTTCGGGGTTATGAATCACGGGGCAGCCTCATTGTTGTGTTTAACTGGGTTGTACTTAGAAAGGCCACAGCAGACCTTGACCCAGGGACACAGACACCAAACACGGCGTCTTCGAAGTGACGAGTGAACGCTTTCGTGGCTACCGAACATACAAGTTATGTCATGAGTGTATGTCCACTACCACTTACAGTAAACTACGTTTAAAACAAACATGTTATAACGAACTTACTTTTTGCCCCAGCCATTTGCTGTACATAATGCTTATAACGAACTACGGTTATAACGAACTAAAAGTAGTGGTCCCTTTGAGTTCGTTATAACCCAGTTTAATGTACTCGTTTAACGCCGCACAATATTTCAGCTATATAGCGGTGGTCTGTAAATAATCGAGTCTAGACTAGACAATCAAGTGATTGACATCATGAGCATCCATCAAGGCTGGTATACGATGACATGCATCAACCAAGTCAGCGACCCTGACCACCCGATCCCGTTAGTCGCCTCTTACGACAAGCACCAATTACTCGTGTACAAATCCGGATAAATCGAAGTCATATTCATGATCCCTGTCGTGTTTGATAATACGGTTTGCTCTAAAACGAGGCTAACGAGCGGACATATTTACATTCACCTGAATCAAAAACTAATTTATAGACAACACGAGACCGACCGAGTTATTTAGCTCATGTAACATATGGTTGACAAGAGAGATATTAATGCGCAATTACCCGAATCAATGTTAGACAAATATTCCGTTTGGATACTGTTCCCTGCTCTATCAGCCCAGGATTCTAATGCAATATCAACTCCCTGGACTCTGTCAGCTTGTATGCTGACAATCGCATTAAGCGCCATGTCAAGTATCGGCAGAGGGAAATCACGTTGGCATTCAATGAGCTGTGTGTAATGAGTATAATCGATGTTACGATGCATTATCCATGTATTCCTGCATCAGTAACCACGGAAGTTGGTGTTCTTGGATATCACCAGGGTGTGAATCATCCCAGTAGTTTAGACATATTGTGATCATTTCCTATGACAAAACGGATATTGAGTACAAGCTGCTCCAGCTGTAGGTGGCACGTTTAACAACGTTGCCAGGCAACAAACTACCGCAGCTGGAGATCAGTGGAATAATGTTTTATTTTATGTACCTGGTCTAGGCGGGTGACACAACCACGACAGGGGAGCGTTGATGTTGTTGCTGAAGCGGCTGGAAGAGTTATAATACAAGGATATGGTAGGTTGTTACTAAAAGGAGTCTTTCAGGAGGGAAGTTTAAAAAAACT